CAAATGCATGTTCAGACTTATGTCTATCCTCACCAAGATCTCACTACGGCCTTATTGTTTACACAGGGCCTTTCTGAAAGCAGGAACACAAGCTTCCACCTGGAGCACAGGAACTGGATCAGTTGAAAGTGTTATCCATTGATCAGAATATGATATTTGAAAATGGCAGTACTATCACACACACAAAAAAGCCCCATGAGACTTATTTTGGTGGCACAGTTCACATATAAGGGCTGAATCATCAATAACAAAAAAAGGTTGTGGTCTTATTTTAATGAAATAAAAAAAAGCAAATTAAAAATATGCATGCTCTCTTAAGTCCTTGACTATATCGAACTGTAAGCATTTCTAGTATCTTTAAAATTGAAATCGTGATAAATCTTATCGGGCATGCACTTATTGCTTTTTAAAATCTGAAAGACTAACGTGGAAAGCCCATTGGCAGAATTAACTGTGACGTTGAGACTGCCCGTCTTGCCTGACCATGCCGTGAAGTGTCACACGCTTCAGCAGAGAGCAGCTGGACCAGCCTCACACTTCCTTGCCACGGCAGGGGAAGGAATATAGCTGCAGAGCATGCAGGCCAGTCAAAATCCGTTTAGGAAGTGACTGTATGAGCACAACGTGCTTTGGTAACCTGGGTAAAAGTGGTGGTTCGAGCCTCTGGCTGCTTAAAAAACACCAGAGTGCACTCTTGACGGCTCCAGCTTGGTCTCACGCCTGTGAGAAGTAAGAACGGTCAGAAATGAAGGTCACAATAAGATATTGCTAGACTGAATTTGGAAGTCAGCTAAGAATATGATCATTAAGAGCATTTATTCTAAATCTTTCCTTTGGGAAGATAAGTCAGTAATCTTGTAAGCACTAAATTAGATCATGATTATGAGAACGTTAAAACCATAAAAAAAACCCAATACCATACATTAGAGATTGCCACACGATTTGCAGAATTAAGAGTTTCCTTAAGGTATTTTGAAATCCATGTGTTCATTTTTTCATGCAAAGTTTTGGATTTGTTTCTATACCAGCCTACTTGTCTAAGTAGCATGTACATACACACATAATGAAAACTTTTATGAAGTACACATTCAGTAATAGATAAAATATTAGAGTTTAGACCTATATCTTTGAACACTTTCAGGGATTATTTATCTCTGGCTGCAGCTGCCATTCATATTTTATTACAGAAATGAGTGGATGGTTTTGAAACCATCTAGGCTGGCTGGCTTACTACCTAATGTAAAAGAAGAAAATGCATGCAATTGTGAAATAATTTTATTTTTAAGAATAAATGTAATAAAACTCTGTTGTGTTCAGCCTAATGATTGCTTAGTCTGTGAGGGAAGCCAAGGAAGTCATATGCTTTTGAAAGTGGAACTCGTTGTTTTCCTTCTGATGTGGTCAAGAAACTAGAAAAATCGAATCAAAATAGTGTGTGTGTGTGTGTGTGTGTGTGTGTGTGTGTGTCTATGCTTATGTGTGTGAGTGTGTTCATGGTATGTCCATATGTGAGGTAGATCAAAGTTATACTTAGGCAGAATTCATCTAAAGCTGTCCTGCAATGTTAGAGTATACCAATTCTTGTTATATATATATATATTTTTTTTTAAGTTCTATCTTACGTATTGTGTGTTAGCACATATTAGGATTTTCCTATTGCTTTTGGGTACGTTTCGGAGGTGCTAATTTAAATGTTTCATCCACATAAAATTTATTGTTGAATAAATGTAAATAAAGGTTGTTGTCCATCAAACAGAACTTGAGTTGAGGCAACATGTATAATAACGTTTTTACTTGTGGAGAAATTAGAACAATGAATTTTGAGCCCATTAGTTCATCTCCCCCAGCTCCTCCTAGATCCTCCCTCACCTCCCTACCGACCCATCTTCACAACAATATATTTTCTTTACTCCATATTCTGTGTGTGAGTGCCTCCTGCAGTTATGGATGTGTACCATGTATGCACAGTGCCTTTTTGGAGTCTTGAAGATTGTCAGATCCCCTGGAACTGGAGTTACACATAGGAGCTACCTATAACATGGGTGCTGGAGTACAAACCTAGGTCCTCTGCAAGTGCAGCAAGTGCTCTTAATCTCTAAGTCATCTCACCAGCCCCACACAGGGCAAGCAATATTTCATATTACTTTATAGGGTCGTTTCAAAATTTAACAAAGTAAAAAAATACATGTAAGCTTAAACTTTTATTTTACTTTGATAATTTCCCACTAACATTTATAGATTTGAAAATTTTTCATTAACTTCTGTAATTAGATTTCATGCACTCAAAGTTAGGTTTAAGAGTATAGAATTATAGAAATTATCCAATAACAAATTTTTGTTTAGGAAACAAATATTTTCCAGGAATTGATGATAAGGAATCACATCTTAATATTCTGAGGTTATAATATTAAAGCCATTAAAAAAGTATCTCCGGATCTTTTGGAGGTTTTGAAATATATTGAAACCAGCTCTTTGGCAGAAGTAAATGGAGATATTTGTTCTTCATAACCCTACTGTCATCAGTCTCTGCTATTAATGCAAAAGGAATTTCTTTGTCTGGCTTTGATGTCTTTTCTTGACCTTAGGCTAGTTGGACAATTGTGTCCTTAGCTGTACTCTATTTTGGGCTTATAATTATTTCTTTGGCCTCTTCTATTTTCAGGGAACCAAATAATTTAAAGGCTTGCATTATCTGATCTACTTTTTGCTCTGAACTCTCACCCTGACCAACAATGTTACTTTCATCCCAAGCATCCGTTATCAATCACAGGGGATAAGTTCCAGGACTCTACAAAAATGGGATATACACGTCATGCATTTAAACTGGCCTGGTGTTTGAAAAGCATGCCTATAACCTCCACAGTACTCTCATATCAGGGAAAATAGTATTTATCTATTCAGTAGACACATTTATCTGTGATGTTTTTGATTAGAGGTCGACTGAAACCCAGTGAGCAGAATGCATGAGTGTGAAGTGCAAAACTTACGTCCCTAAACAAACTCTTTGCACACAAACCTTCTAACCTTTCCCAAAAGACCCTTTCAGATAGTATAATAGTCACTTTTCAGATTCCTCAGATTCTTTCAGTCTGTCAAATTGCCAGTTGCTCTTGGTTCCCTATTATTTAGCCCAGAATGTCGTCATCTCATTGCTATAACAATGTGCAAGATAATATCCATTATCTCTTAGTCTAACCTGCTTTGTACTTTAATATCAAATGTTCCTGAGGTACCCCCTGTATGGGTGAGCCCCACAAAGCTATCCGCCCAAAAGGGGCAGAGATATGAAGATTAGACAGGAGGGCTATTTAAGGAAAGAAAAAGTATTCTCTCGCTCTCTTCTCCTCTGGAAGCCTGCCACGCTTCCTATCCGCTCAGCTTGTATGTAAATAAATACATTATATTCCATATTGCATTGACCTCCAACGTCAGCCGTCAACCCCCTTTCTAATTGCTTCTGTGTTTCAGAATACGCCTTCCTGACCATGCACATGCAGCCAATTCCAAGCTCCGAAATACTGCAATCTGAAGCTTCCAAACACACCCTTTGCATTGCCTTCCACTCTTTACCCACCTTGGTAGTAGCCCCTCATTGTCAGTCTTGGCGCTCCCTTTGTAGAATAATGTCTTTTTACTTTCCACGATGTGACCAAATAGGATGCCTATTTCAATCTTCTCTCATTTAATAGCCCTTCCAATTATTAAAACACCTAAGAATTTATTACAGTCCTGTAAGGTCACTTTGGGAGTTTGCTGAGAACCTGTGATAGAGTCCGTGTTTGACTAAACTGGACAAAGTGGTCAGTAAATACCTGCGAGATATTTAATGTATGTTCTTAAATCAATCAGTGCCCCGTGATGGGAAATAAATGTAGAACTGGTTCTTAGTTTGCTACATGAGCAATGTAAATTTGATGTGCTACACATACTCGGAGTGCAACCCTGAAAATTAACTTTCCTACCTCATTTTGCTTGTGTTCATAGTTTTAAGAAATATTCTAAAATATCTAAAAGAATGGGGACACTATGAGTTGTAATGCTTCTATAAACTTCCTATAAGGATTTTAGATCAAATTATCTTGGTATATTTAGCTTTCAAAAATTCCAAGAGAATTAACAAAATCAAACATCATTGCTTTGATTCCTATGGTGTGGATGTTATGCCCTAAAGCTAAAGCATATCTCTTATAACTCCATCTGTGCTAGATTAACCTCCAGCTGCTAAGTCCAAGGGCCATGAATAAATAATAGTAAAATATTTTAGTTGAACTAATTCCACTAACTAAGCTATTGTCATTAGAGTTCAAATCATAGAGCATAAGAAAAATTTCCTTTGTTTTCATCCTAACAACTATGAACTGGAGAGTAAAATTTCCATCTGTAGTTTCATTGTTATCCTCAAGTGTTAGTTCTTAATATTTTCAAACTAATATAAAACATGTCATAGGTTTGTTCATTTTTAACAGGAAAAAAAATCAGTGTTGTTTGTTTCCTCCTAGTAAACAAAGTACCTCCATGGACAATGTACTCTATTATGGCAAATGAAACATTCAAAGGTGAGTAAAGACTACATAAAAATGTTCACAATGTTGGCATGGTCACCATTAAAGTATAGTTCGTTGATTTTTTCAAAAAAGAATATCTAATGAAGGACAAAATGTCTTAAGTAGTATCTCTTTTTTAGGGTTACATTTTAAATCAGGCTTTCAAGCCATCAAGAAAATGAACATTTTAATTACTCAAATGGTGATTTCCTGTGGAAAGCTATAATTAAATCAATTTACTATTTTCTCATGATGTTCTAACATTATCATACAATGTTTAGTTGTTTTTGTATATTGTGTTGGGTACTACAGGATCTCATGCATGTTACAGTTTCCACCCTGAGCTACACACCCAACCCATTAACACCTTTTGATAAAGCACCTAAAAACAATTCAGAGAAGCCATACTTCATGGATACTGCAAACAATGCAGCCTGGACTGAAAAACACACTTACCTCTTTGCTTTCTTCTAGTTCTGACTCACTGCTAAACTCTTCCGTATTTAAATTTTCAAAGTCAGACTCTCCCACAGCAATGGGCACAGTCACAGTGAGACTAGGATTGTTGATGAATGACATGTAGTCATTTTCATCGATTACATATTTTTCAACACTGCTTCCAGTACCTACACCACTGGTGGTTCCATTACCATCTTTAAGATAATTAAGCTCTTTGCTTATTTCAATGCCTGTGTTGTTGGACATGCAGCTATCTATTTTGTTGACTTCGTGGATTTCTATGACTTTGGGCTTTCTGAAAAAGGCTTTTCGGAAGCACTCTCGAATCTTGTTTTTTACATAATCAATTCCCTTCTGCATCCTGCCCACTGCGATCTGGAGGTTGTTCATTTCGTTATCATCATCAGTAGCAGCAAGGTTGTCTGAGCTAAACGAACTCAACAGTAAGGCCAGAAATAGGTTCAGAACCTAAATGAAAAAAAGAGTAGAAGTTCCATGTTAATACTGCAACACGCCTAAATAGTTAAGTGGACAAGGAAGTTCATATCTTTGCTTCAGTGGGTTTAGCAAATTCTTTGGAATGCTTTGTGTGCATGAGGCTCCACATTAAAATCACACACCATTTGAAGGGCATGATAAATCTATCTGTGGTAACTACCAGGAGAATGGACACCCTTCTCCACTGAGAATAGTAGGAAAAAAAAATATTTCAATCACATCTACCCAGACTCGCCAGTGAAAAGACAAAATTCCATTAACAGGGATTCTTGTCACAAGAAAAAAAGGTACTTTTCACTTCTCACTATCTTATTTCCTCTTACCAGTTTGTCTATGAAATACCTAGTTTCATATAATAAATTTAATAATCTACTGATTTGTACAAAACAATATGTAGCAGAAACAGATTTATTGTTTGGTGGCTATAAACTGTAATAGCAGATATAGAAATGTGCATACTTCCCATCAAGTATTCTTTAAAAATTATGTGTCTAAATAGTATAGAAGGTAGAGAAAATTCTAAAATGTTCTAAGAGTTAACCAGACTTGTATAATGAAAATTCCCCCTCTCCTTGGTTTTGTTGAGTTTGTTGTGACTCACAGTGGAGACTACCTGTGATCTAAGGATAATACAGGGATAACTCAGGATATCTGCTCTAAAAGGAAATTATGTACAGGGGTATTTTTAGCTTAAAGTGTAATTACTGAATTTCTTCATGTGGCAGGAGGACAAATGCAAAGCAGGATCCCCGGGATGGTTTCCTATCTACACATCATATTTTGTTCAGAACCTAGGGCTCTCTGATTTGCCATTTAAGCAAAAAAGTACATGTATTCTACTATCATTCTTTTGAGTATTATTTGAAGTGTACCCTTCAAAAGGAAGGCCTAGCATGACTGCATAGACAATTACAATATCTGCATGTGATTCAGGAATTTAAGTATTGAGATGCATACCTTTATGTTTTTAAAATTAATAGTTTTTCTTGGACAATTTCATGCATGCACACAACATACACTGACTACTCCCAGCCTCCACCCCACTTCTACACCTATCCATCTCCCTTCTCCCCACAAATCTTTCTGTTGCATTCAAGTCTATTACTTTTATCCACTGTGGTTAACTGGGGCCATGTATGTGACCATAGATATATAGAGCTAGGTAGGATCAGCAGTGGTACACAAGACAGCTATTCATTCTCATCTAGATTTTAAGGAATGACTAAAAGTATTTTATCATCATTGTCTTTATCATCTGTCTATCATCTATCATCTCCCTGTGGGTTTGTCTCTGTCTCTCTTTACATATGCATATGTGTATATATGCATACATATACATGTATGTGTAATTATTCAAACTACAATGTTATTTTCTTTTAATAAAGAGATTTCAGGTAAGAACATATTTTGCACCCTACAGTAATTTGTACCCCACAGCTAAAATATAACTCTTTGTTTCATTAAAATTTGTCATCCCGATTTATGTCTAACCCACACCTTTAAATAAAAAGATGTGAATTATGACCATGTAAAAAGCCATTTCAGTATAAAATAGTTGTGTTTGTAGGGTTTAAAGAGATTGTCATATCAAAATAATATCAGGATACAGTTAGTCTTGGTAAGAAAATACATTTTTTTTTGTTTAGACAAGAAAAAAATAAAGGTAGTATTTACAACCCCCAAACATGCATTAAGTGCCCCTCCCACCCTCATGTCCTCCACAGGATGTCAGTTTTATTCCACTGTCACAGACAGGGGCTCCAACCCCAGGGAATTGAATTAGATGTCCCTCCAGTGACTGCTTGTAGGGGGATTTGACTCTCAGTCGCTGGCAGTAAAATTGGAGAAAAATTTACTGCCTAGCCTAAGCCACCATATTACCTACAGCCCAAACTCATTCTTATTTATGAACATCTGCAGAACACACATACCACAAGGTTGCCAATCACCATGACCAGCATGAACACAATAAGGCACATGGTCTGGCCGGCGACCTCCATGCAGTCCCACATGGTCTCTATCCACTCTCCGCACAGCACTCGGAACACAATCAGGAAGGAGTGAAAGAAGTCATTCATGTGCCAGCGTGGGAGTTTGCAATCCTCGTTGATCTTGCAGACACACTCCTTGTAGCTCTTTCCAAACAGCTGCATGCCGACCACGGCAAAAATGAAGACGATGATGGCCAACACCAGGGTCAGGTTTCCCAGTGCGCCCACCGAATTGCCAATGATTTTAATGAGCATATTCAGCGTGGGCCAGGATTTTGCCAACTTGAAGACTCGCAGCTGTAATCAAATAAAATGAATTTTAGTACGTTTGGAAGCCAGACTATTGTTTTATGAGTCGATTATGATGTAGATCCAAATCAAAAGTGATTAATATTAGAATTACTAATCAAGTCATGTCATTTAAGTGCATTTTTTTCTTTATGAAGTGCAATTTTTTTCAACTCAGATTTATTGAAAGATATGCCTTTGAAAAATATTGCTACTTTAATTATAGACACTGTTATTCCATCAACTGTCACCTCGGAAATTGAAAAGGAATGAATGTTGAAAATATGAATTACATTTTCTTTATTTTAAATAGATGTGAAAAAAGCTAATTTGACTTTTAAGAGCTTTGTTCAATTCAAAATGTACATATATATAATGTATATGTAAATATTTATGTAATGTTCAAAAAAGGTGTTTTTAGTAAATATTTTTGCTATGTTAAAAATGACTTATGATATCATTGTTTAAAATTCCAAATGCATCAAACATTTTTGTATGTGTTGAATTTGTTTTGTTTCGTCTTGCTTTGGAGACAGTCACACATAGCCCAGGCTGGCCTTAAATTTACGGTGCAACCGAGGGTAATTCTGAACCAGTACTTCTGCCTCCACCTCCTGAGTGTTGGAGTTAGAGATATGCACCACGATTCCTGGCTTCCCACATACTTTAGAGCAGCTCATCTATGATGGGATGCTATGTTCAGTCTTAATGCAGTGGGGAGGGGCTCGATCCTGCTTCAACTTAATGTGCCAGGTTTTATTGACTCCCCATGGAAGGCCTTACCTTTTGGAAGGAATGAATTTAGGGTGAGCTGGGGGGTAAAGAAGAGAGGGGACAGGAGGAGGAGTTGAAGGAAGAACTGTGGTTGGAATGTAAAATGAAATTTAAACAGAGAAATAAATAAAAGTGAAAAACGCATTGGGCTTGATTAAAAACCTGGCATGAATTGGCATTTTTTATTTGCCTTTCTGTCCTTCTTTTTCTTTTTTCTTTCCTCACCTTACAGATATAAAGTGAAAACAAGTTCAGGATATAAACCAATTTAGAACAACACATATGTTTGTTATGCCTCCTACATATTGGATTGTGAATCATTTTTATTATAGATTGTAATTATCTTCAGAGGCCGCACTTGTACATTTTCTGAGGATATCGCCTCAGTGTAATTAGCAATGCTATTTTACAAACTATGATCATTATATAAACATATATTTGAAAATAAATGCTATACTAATGAGAGGTAGGACATGAAGAAGAGGGAGATACCAGTCTGAAGGAACGAAGCACGGACAGGCCCTCCACATTTGCCAGGCCAAGCTCCATTAAACTCAGGCTAACAATAATTCCATCAAAAATGTTCCAGCCCTCTTGGAAATAGTAATAGGGATCCATGGCGATGATTTTTAGGACCATTTCGGCTGTGAAGATCCCAGTGAACACCTGCAGGGGAACAGAGAGGCACTTCAGCAGTGCTGAGCATGGATGCTGTGAGAAATCACAAAGAGCATTACATCATAAACAAATATAAACATCTGACTTGTAAATTCAACAAATCAATACCGGCTTAGCATGTTCCCCACAAGCTAGCATTGTGCTAAATAGCTTTGTCATATTTAACAAATCAGCTGGATTTCTAGAGGAAACAAACTTTAAGACTTTTCACTGTGAGCATTTTCAATCTCATACTGGATAATAGCTGTGGCGTTATTGTCATTGTAGTCCATTCTGCTTCTACAAAGCAGGGCATTTACTTTTTTGTTATGTTGCAAAACGTATTATGGGAAATAAATCCACATATTATTGGAAGACACTAAGAATTACTTGAAATTGGTAAACATATACATTTTATTTTTAAATTTTCTAATTTCATTTAAGTGGTAGCATTTTGCTTCTACATTTTATAAACACTCTTGAAACAAAGGAGCGTCTGCCACAATTGTCTTGTAATAATGGTCTCTGGCTGCCTGCCTCAGAATTTAAGTTAATGGATTAATAGATTTAATTAGAACAAGCAGGAGAATATCCTCTGTATTACACATCAATAATTAAGAGTAATATGGTGAGTGGCTGGGAAGAATGTGTGTTTGACAACAGAAACAAAAAAGCCCAGATCACATTAAACATCGATTTCAAACTTGAAACCACAGGCAATACAAGCATAAGTGCATGAAGGGCTATGAAATTATTCTTGAGAAAATCTTTTAAAATAGTTATACAAATTCTGTATAGGTGAAAGCTCTATTTTATGATTGTAAAGTCAATGTTACCATTATCTTGAGAATCTCTGTCAAAATACATTTACTAGAATCAATTAGTATCTTAAACCATCATACCTTTTAAAAAGAATCCAGACCCACTCTCATTTAAGCATAAAGATAGCTAACATCTCATTTTTAAATTGTACAAATATTTTAAAAGGAAATATCAATTCCAAAAACATAGCTTAACTGCTGTTAGTCACATGTTCACTTATATAGAAGTAAAATATATTGTAAGCAAGGTAGAATTTTGAAAATAATGTTTTCATTTTATACAATAACTCACCATGGAATTTTTTTAACAAATAGTACTCCTTGGTGAATTCAAAATCAGTTCTAACTCTACAGATTTGATTTCTGTAAAACTTTCAGAAGCAGGTATTATTTAAAATAGGCACCCTGATGATAGAAATGCATTAAAACAAGCTTGCAACTCTTTAACTAAATGATCCTTAATATCTCTTCTTACAGAAAATCATAACGAATCCTAATAGGTCTGCTTTCCTGCAGCTAGCAAATGGATATCTTAAAGTCAAACTTTCATTCAAAATGTAATGTCACTATGGAAGTTCTCCTTAAGAATATTTGAACAGACATTTTCATTTCAAAATTACAGGTATGTGGTGATATATTGTTTATGATTTAATAAAGCCTGCCTGGCAATCAGAACACAAAGCCAGCCATGCTAGTTCTCCATAGAAGCTGGACAGTGGTGGCACACACCTTTAATCCCAGGATGCAGGATACAGAGGCAGATGGCTCTCTGTGAGTTCAAAGCCACCCAGGCTATACAAAGAGTGAGTCAGTCTAAAAGAGCTCACGCCTTTAATCCCAGCACTAGAGAGCATACAGTACATAGCATATAGTATATAGCATATAGCATATAGTATATAGTATATAGTATACAGTATATAGACTCCGTGCAGTCTCAGAAGCAGTCAAGGATTCTGAGGCTTGGTGGAGAGCAATGGAGTCTACAGATGTAATATGAGGTTGAGTGAATCGCTCCTTTGGTCTGAGCATTGGTAGAGGTGAGAACTCTCTAGTGGCTGGCTGCTTTGCTTCTCTGACCTTCAGCTTGACCCCCATATCTGTCTCTGGGGTTTTATTATTCATGATACACAGGCATCTCCCCTTAATTTTTCCAGTGAAGATCAACAAAATAATGCTAATGCTATTGTTTTGTCCTGTGGTTTTAGTCAGGTAAACTGGTAAGGAAGAGATTCTCTAACAACACAATGCACAGACTAACTGGTTTCTAAGATTCCTATACTTGGAGCTTGAATTTTAAAATGACTGGGGGGAAAAAAAGAAAAGAACCTCCTGTGAAAATATGAAGAAAGAGACTCGGCAGAGGATTTTAGGTCTCCAGATACACAAATTGAATTAACCCAATCATTAGGGAAGTGATGTAATGTTTATGCACTGTAGAAACAGACTGCAAAAAAAGTGGACTCCCTGATCAAAGTCAAAACAGAAGGTTCTGTAACCTCTTTCTATTTTTTTGTTCTTAATTCAGCCTACACTTTTATGGCTTCATATACAGGTCTCTACATAATTATTTGAGCAACAATAGACTAGTATATTGAAAATTATCATTTATTTTAATGAGTGAACTTTACTAAACTCCCAACAAAATATAACCATCTATAGTCTTGTATTAAGACTCAGACTTGAAGCCATCAACTTGTGCTTTGTCCCTTGACTATCCCATTACCCAATTTGTATCGTCCTATGCTTACACATGCAACAGCTTCAACACTGGAAGTCCATAGTCCATAAAATGTCAATTTCCTTCATAATCTGGAAAGTTTCCCAAATATTCCTCACTTGTTCAATTTCCCCAGCTTCCCAATATCCTGGGAAAAACATCAGGGCTTGGAGCAGAAAAATTTTCCACCAAATCTTCAATGAAAAGTTCAAGGGGTTAATGGCATACATGTGAGAGGAAGGAAGCTGTTCTATGAGTACACGCAAGATGTTAGGCACAATGCTAGATTCTTTCACATTGCCTCATTTGACCTGCCCCAAAACCTCAGAGATGGGTATCATTACACCCATTTCAATAATAATAATAAAAAACAAGGCTCAGAGCATTGTACTTTTCAGAGACTATACTATTCATCGACATTGACAGTTAAAGTCAAGGCCATGCTCTCTATTGGTTTTAAAACATGTGTCATTTATTTTCCAAAGCCTGATGCCTGAAGCAGCCTCTTTGGGAGTAGGAACGACAAACCATTTGTTTATTGAGGAACTCCAATGTATCCACAGAAGGAGACATAAAACAAGATGTGATCCAGGGCCTGCCACTGAGAAACTCACAACAGATGGAAAAACCACAGCTTCGAGAGTAAGGAAGTTCATTAAGGAATAAGTTAGAGTTGTTTAATATGGGCCAAATGCCATGTTAGGAAGGAGAGGAGAGAGTGGAACTTGGAAGACTATGAACTGAGAAATGAGAACACTCTAGATGTGGATGCATTAAACAATGAACAGAGAAATATTTAAATAAGCCACTGTGTGGCATGTGTGTGGTGTTGTGACAAGACTTTTGTGATGTGGCTGAGGGTGATTGTACAGGAAACAACACATTAGTACTAGAAATATTTTAAAGGTTTTAAGAGTAAAAGATAAATAGCCTGAAAGGAGAAATAATGGATTTTCTTATCAAGTAGATATGGGAAATAAAGGAAAAGCTAAGTCCTAGCAGCTCTGTTCCTGGAGCTAGAAGGGACTGTTAAAGGTAGCACAGACTGATGTGAGGCTCATAACACTTCTCATAAACTGTGGGAAAGATGGCCATTCAGCTGTGACCACACAGTGCTTAAAGCAATCCTTGGCCAATGACCTATGACAGCTTGGCACATAGAACAGAATAAAGCTCATGCTGCAGAATGTATCATCCCCGAAGTTGGTGGAATGTCAAAATATTGAGTGAGAAACACCATAAATGATGTAAGGAGTTCAACAATCAGTAATAGGGGTCACAGAAAGTGTCAGGAATGGAATAATTGGCATTATAAAGAAAATTATCAGGAAGAAAAGAGTATCACAACATGGTAGGTGTCAAAGTTGAAGCAAAAGGTGGATGTTTTCCTGAGTCAAACAGCACAAAGAGGATGTGGTGACTTATCAGTATGCATATTTATGCCGTTGTCTTCACAACATCTTTTCCTTCTTTCTGGCGGGACTAATTTCTCCACCTGTATGTCTACTTAGGACTGCAATGGTTTCAAAAGGCTACACCCACTCCTTACCAGGCTGGTTATACTAAAAGTGACTGTCTATGTAATATTCCCAACACAGTTCTGTCATGAAAACTTTGAACTGGAATTCAAAATGAAATTTACCTTTTTCTTGACTAAATAATGTGAGATGTAATATCCGTGAGCTACTCTAGAGCTGAGAGATGCAGAAAATATCTGAACTGCATCCGAGACCAGTACCTGCATCTTAGCTGCACCATCTTTCATCTTTTCTGTTCCTCTTTCTTTAAGTGCAATAGTGATGGTAAAAGGAAGGTCTTAACTAATAATATATGTAAGCTCAACTATCAAACTCTAGGGAAGAAAGAGTAGGAGTGAAGTAGAATCAAACAGAAGGGAATATTTTTGTGGGTTAGGCATTTCACTTTTAACTGGTGAGATTCATATAGTTGGCGGGTTCACTTCCACAATACTTCCCAATGATCAATACCCTTAGGACTTCTCCTTTTCACACATTCCCCTTTCTTCTCTCCATTCCCCCTTTTCCTTTGAATCAAGATCTCACTGTGTAGACCATACTGACCTAGAATTTTCAGTGTATGCTCCCATGCCTGCTTCTGATCATCTTATTTTGGAGGTGCAGTACTTTATATCCCTAAAGACTGGGTATTTCTAATGCAAAACTGATAGGAATAATAGGTTGTTTGTCTTAAACCAAGAAAAAAGATTGTTTTGCAGAGTACATTCAATAATCATAATTGGAGTTCCCTACAATTTAAAGCCCAAATTAGTAACCTTTGATCAGAAAGAATCATGTGATCAGCTTCAGGATGTAGCAAGTCAAGCTCATCCACTTCCACTTATGACTCCAGTTAATAAAGTACTTCCCAGAAACTACAGTAAGGAATCACTTATCCCACACAGCTTTTTGTAAACATTTCCGGACATTAGGAATTAAGAATTCTTTGGAGGAAAATAAAGATACTCATTAACATTCTCTTATTGTCTTTCATTAACATAGTTATTAATTAGTACTATATTTGGTGCATTCAATTTAAGAACAAATTTATGTCTCAGTGCAAACTGTTAAAAAAGAAACTCATGGAGCCTAAAGGTTACAGAAGGCATAATTATCATTCATGTCCATATTTTATGGTTTTAGCGGGGAATTTATATCTTTACACAGAAACAAAGGCAAGTTCAACTCACCTGAATGAAAAGGATGGCTAAAACACAAATGCATTTTTATTCAATCCTGTGTTAGAATAGAAGATTTGTTGTGATGTTGCAAAGTGCACTGTACTGCAGTTATACTATTGTGCTAGGTACTGTTAGGACAAGAATGGAGTAGTCATTGACCCAGAGAAACACAATACATGGACTCAGGTATTCTGGGGGTCAGTAGACCTGGTGCTTAGAGTTTTCCTTCTTAAAATGGGCTTAGAGCATTCTGAACTGCATAGGGTTTGCTAGAGTATGTGCTTTGATGCTCAGAATGCCTCTAAGATGTGTTCAAGATTATGATTTGTGGGTCCTCCAAAAGGCATTGATAGCCGCATGAAAAGAGTACTAAGTAATATCATCTAGATACATATTCCAAGTATTGGATCTTAATGAACCAGATCTTGAACCATCACTGTAGATCTATGTAAAAGATGTCCAGTGAACACTAGAATCTTTAAATAATCCAACTCTCCTCCTCTGAGCAGTTTTCCAAATTTTGAGCACAATTGAATGTTTCAAAGAGGAAGTTAACCAAAATCAAATATATATAAACATTTTAAGTCTTTAGATGACTTTAGTTCATGGCCTTCTTTGGGAAGCCCAGGAAGCCCTGAGTGCATGAGGGTTGTTGATATGAGCCAGCCTAGCCTCAGACCCATGGGGAAAAAATGGCAAAACCTTCTTCATGGAATAAGGCTCAAAAGGCAAAGCCTTCCTCTGCTCCATGTGTGGTTGTTGATAATGTACGCATCCACTAAATCTGCCATCTTGATTCAGCTGTATATACTACTCCTGTCTTCCTGTTTATCTGTATGTAATAACCCTGAGTCCTTGTTGCACTATATGGAATTACCCCAACTTTCTATTCAACTCTCTATAATAAGCATACTGAGATTCCAGAGACTGGCGTTTCTTTAGCAGAGAGCCTACCCTATCTAATCCCCGCTAATTTGTGTCTCTGTGTCTGTATTTTCTTAATTCCCTCACTAGCCCCTTCAGGCCCATCCTGGGAGCCTTGCAAGGCCTCAGCAGTCTTCACAGGAAGAAAAAGCAGCCAGGTATTTGCCTGCTGATGATTACATTGCAAAAATATTTATAAGCACTTTATAACTGGCAATGAGCTCTATACTGAGTTACTTGCTGGTCACGGGCCTGGGGATGATGTTAAATATGTGTTACAGGTTGTCAAAATGATTTTGGATACCATGAGTCATCTTGAAATAGATGAGTCAATGTTGTCACAACCAAATTCTAGGCATATTCCAGGAAGAACTGGTTAGCTGATGCCAGTTTTAAAGTCATAAAAGCATGAAAGGCTATTTGTTCAAAAATATCTCTAAGTACAATCTTCCCTATGATTAGTTAGTTACCTTCACACACTGAGAGTCCTACATAAGTATTTTAGCAACTATTTTCTCTATTGGACAATTACCACTGAAGCTATTTATTATTAAGTGATGCACTTCAAAACTTGTGTGCCTTTTAAAATGGAAATTGATTCAATGGCTATGGTTTCTGTAAAGACTAGGTAAGTTCAAACCTTGTGGATCTTATGTTTCCTCTGGCCCTTCATTGATCATATGTAAGTCTCTAAAGTGCGAGGAGTTTACAACTCTAGGACACCATGGTTACTGATCTACATAATAGGCCTCAACATGAGCTGAAATTCAGATCCTATCTGAGGTGTGTTGTAATAGTCTTTTAGATATCTCTTATTATGAAGAAAGAAGATAAAATTTCAGATTGGTACATCAAGGGTAGTATTTTTCTCTGCTCCACTGCTTCATCTCCTACAGCACTTACCAGGTTTCCCACAGTCAACACACTGCTGAACTGCTCAGTCATGGGATAGTGCTCCATGGCCATAAATAGGGTATTTAATACAATGCAAATTGTTATGGCAAGATCAACAAATGGATCCATCACGATTAAATTCACAAGATGCTTCACTTTTAGCCATGCATCACAGCAGTCCCAGATCAAAAACACATTGGCAAATCTATACCAGCATGGTGGACACTTTTGTCTAGATTCTTCAAGTTCTGGTGGGTAATAAAGAAGAAAAGTAGTAAATAACAGTAAAAACTAATTCTTGTACATAGTAAATGACATGGTAAAACTGATGCTTACTCTTAGGCATACAAGTTTGTGTTACTGGGATTAATAGACTATATAGAAAACAGTCTTATTATATATTTCCATAAATATTCATTAAATAGCATACGATATTGACTTGCTTTCTCTTTTGAAATACAAAAAGTACCTAAATTTGATATTCTATTTCAAAATAAGAAATAATTGAACAAAAAGACAATAATATCACTATCAAATAGAACTGCTAAAAGAAATTTTATAGAGATGTTAAACAGTGAATAAAATCACGAAACAATTGTGTCAAGTGTACTTTAGAGAAATTTTATAATTGTGAATATGGAGGACAAAGGAAGCACATTTTGGGGGACCTTGCTTGAATGAAAAATAGTCTTAGTTTTGTCCAATTCATTGCTATCCTTCTCTAACCCTAACATCACTGACACATACAAACTGAATGGAGAAGGGCTTATTCTGTTGGGTAATGTAACATTAGAATAAGTCTTCCACGACATGATATCAAGTTGGGAAATTCCACTATACAGGCAAGGTAAGGATCTAAGTGAAAGAGAAATAGGTCAATACTCATTTTTATAACAAATATGAAAGGTGTATCCTTTCACATAATTATATCTGTGAGACAATTCTAGATGTGGGAAGCCGGTAAGGGGTCTGCAGAAAGAAGGGGTGTTCAGAGCAGTAAAGTGAGACGCCTGCATCTCACCCTCCATGGTGTTGGTCAGGATGCTGGCTATGCTCATGGCTCTCTGTCTTCCGGAGGAGTCTTCCAGCATTTCCATTGAAATCTGGTAAGAACTTAGCCTTCTCTTCCTGACTTCCGTTTCAGTGGTGGTGCCCTGCAAACCAAATACTGATGGCTCAAACCACCCTTCTCCAAGGATAGCATGAGAATATATAGCATCTCTCTGGAAAATCATGCTTCATGCAAGGTTTTTAGGTAGCAATCTCAAGTAATAATAAGATATTGAATAGATTATTATAAACACATTTTAAAAGACCACAGATCCTCTGACAAGCATTCACTGGCTGGATGCAATTGTATAAAGCAATTGTTTTACACAAGCATTTTAACATGACAATGTTTTGGGGGAAATAATTTTATAAGCATGCTACAATTTCTTTTCATTCAAATACAAATTATTTTTCAACTTATAGCAGTGAGGAATAAGTGAGCCTTCCCACAAAACTAAATATTATTATATAGTCTCAAGGCTGGTTTATTTTCTTTGAGGCTACATTGACAAACTGACATATATGGGCCATTTATTATCCATGCACAAACACAGATGTACAATGAAATGTGTGTGCTTTCCTGAGATTTCTTTATTTCCATATGCCTTTCTGTAATCAACAATTTTGTTTTGGGATGATTTTTTCAAATAGCACTATAATATTGACAGTTGTATAAAGCTGTCGATTGTTAACACATCAGTTATTACAATATTTAATTTTGAGAAGACAAAAATTTCAGGTTATGAGCTGATAGATGATTATATAATTTAAGGGAAATGTTGGTAATCAAGATTTGATTGAGAAAGTGCTAATTATTTTGTATTTGTGGTAAATCTACTGAAGTTGCAGGTTTGTGTTTTACCTCAGACTCTAAATTCTGAGTGCTTTTAACCTGAAAAGCTAAGAGTTCCACACAAGTCAAGTGGGGTTTTTTGTTTGTTTGTTTTGTTTTCATTCTCTTACTCATGTATTACTTTTAAGCACTTTCATTTGGAGGAAGTAGGGTCAAAGAGCAGGCACAGCTGCTCAGGCCTGGAATTTTGTTTTCAAATTGAAGTAAAGTGTCAGTAGTAGCTGGTTTATGTATTATCACCTCTGGCGGAAGTTGTCCAGTAGGTGACGTAAGAGCTGATGATCCACCCACCAAGGAAACCACACCATTGCAATCCACAGTGCTGTGCATCTTCCCATTTGCTGGAAGCCCTGGCACCATCCTGGATGACATACTGGCCTGACTAACGTTACTGTTGCGTCGCTCTCCAGGTCTGTGAGGCACAAACAGCGAGTCTCTCCTGCTCTCGCTATCTTCAAAGGTGCTGTGCTCATCATCCGCAAAGTCATTTTCAGACCCCACGTCCTTCGCCCGGCCTCTGAAGCTGAAAATGCTCGTTTTGCTATTTCGTCTTGGGGAAAACAGGGAGCCACGGATACTCAAGAGAGACTGAGGAGAAAGCAAGGAAGGAAGAGATAGGGCACAGGGGGCAGGGTAGAACACAATTGTTTAATAAGAATCTCAAGACTGCAGAAACAACTTATTTTTAGTTTTGTGTCAGTTTGTTCTTAAATACAGGCAATGGAATTCCTAGGGAACACACGACTTTCCTTTTTGTATAGAAAACCATAGTGTGAATGTCAGTGTACATTTAATTATAAAGCATGGCACTCTAAGACTCCTGATCCACAGTTGATCCTGGGTGTTTCATCGAGCTTCACTCTAGCACTGTGAGATGGAGTGTGCTATCACATCACAAGTGAAATGGGAAGATACAAGTAGGAGGCGGCTTCCACTTCTCAGTGCTGGGATCTGAAGGGCATGCAGCTTGGGGCGGGGATTGGGGGAAACTGGCTCAAGTGACAGATTTTAAACATTTATACCAATTTCTAAATGTACTTATATCCAATCAGCCACAGTACTAAAAAAGATTTCATTGTGCCTTTATTGTCTTCCGGATTCTAACCAGGAAGGTCTCTAGACTTGTCTCTATCCACATTAGAGTCATGTCACAAAACTTGTTATCCACAGTTTTTAACAACTTCCAACAGGATGACCAAAAAGTTATTCACTTGATCTGAAGGTCTGCATGTCACAGCAAATGTAAGAAGATTTCAATGCTCTCTGGGGTACTTTGCCTACTACAAATGTATCACCAGCTTAAAGATCCAATGTATGTAATAATGACTGAAACAAAGATGATTCTTGTGTGACATATTAATTAAGTCCATGAGAGCTAGATAAATGAAAATGATATTATCAATATTCTTAATTATTTTTTCCTCATTGTGCTGGGCAATATACCCCCTGCCTCGCTCAATATTGGTGAAGCAAGCATATACCACTGGGCTACATCCCCAGCCCATAACAATGTTTATCATGTACATTTAGAAATAAACTAGTAAGCTGTTCTGTAATAGCAGAAAAGAGGATGTAACTTAGATCCTTCCTTAACTCTCTGAATGGATTTTAAACTGCATTGAGTAGCCCGGAGTTGACTTTACTGTGGTGATACTTTTTAAAAATACCCCTGGTCAGGCAATGAAATGTTGTTTGCTCCCTTCATCATTAATAATGGTATTTCTTTTTGCTTTCTTTCTTGCTCTTATCCCCTGTTCCCTGCCTCTCCTCTCTTCCTAACCACTGTAATTACACACACACACACACACACACACACACACACACACACATGCGCATGCGCGTGTGGGCATGTACACACACATACACACATACACACATTGCACATGCATGCACCATGTAGACAGGTGTGGACCATGGAAGCACACACTTATTGTACTAGCACTTGGAGAAGCAGAAGCAGGAGGATGTACAATTTTAGGTCCGTCTGTGTTACACAACACGACTCTTTCTCAAGATCAAATCAAATCCAAACAGAAAAGACTAATATATGCATATATCAATATGTTAAACACACGCTGGCAGCAACTAGTTTGTACTTTCTTGTTCTTCTCCAGCATAAAAACAAACATAATCTTAGTGGAGAAAACACAGGAAAATCATATTCAGATTTTTTAAAATTTGTTTGCCTAATTAGCTAAGACTGATTGTCGCAGGCCCCACTTTTAGCTTTATTTTTATGACTTTTCCCAGATGACCCTTGTCCTTTGGAAGTTCTGGAAAGGTTCTTTTCATTCTGCAATGTGTCTTTTCTTGGGTAAACGCTCTACAGGACCCAGTCGACCTAGGGTGCACCTAAACTGCACTGTGTTTCTGCAGCACTCAGTTCAAACAAGCTTGTGGACCCAGTGGTAGGCATGGGTTAGACTGATTCCTCTTCCAAAGACTCAAAGGCTGTGTCCTTCATTTTAGTAAAGAATGCTGACATGCGTAATCTCACACTCAACATACATGATAAATATCGGCTATAGAATGAGTGTTTTGGGGGGGAGGGGTGTCGTACACCTTTAATCCCAGTACTTGGGAGGTAGAGGCAGATGGATCTCTGTGAGTTCGAGGTCAGCCTGGTCTGCAAGAACTAGTTACAGGACAGCCTCCAAAGCCACAGAGAAACCCTGTCTTGAAAAACCAAAAAAAAAATCACTTTGTGTATTAAAAAATATGTATTTTCAGGAAATTTGGAATTCTGACTCAGTACATTTAAACACATGTACCAGAGAATGTTCAACTGTTGGACACATAATTCCATAATGGAGCGATGCTCAGGGATGGAGTCCTCATGAATGAATTCATGGTTTTCTGAGTTACATATCACAGAGTTTGGTTCCCTCTTACCTCTTCTGTATAAAGTCATTTGCACTTCTACTCACAAAGGCTCTCTCAGAAACCAGAGTGAAGCCATTTTCACACTCCAGCTTCCAGATAATATATCAAAATACAGATGTGTACAAACCACACCCAGTCTCTGGTGTTTTGCTATAGACACGCACCCCCACACAAACATGATGAAGAAAAGCAGATGTGATTCAGTAACTTGGATTTCTAACCCACGTACCTTCTGATTCCAAACCTAGGTGGATCGCTATACTCACAGAAGTATAAACTTACAATTTATTTTAGTATGTCTTAAATTGATTTCTAGGATGGTTAGGTGTAATAATCTTAATGTATCTGTGCTCTAAAACTATCCTTTGGAAGTGAAAATCTGCTTGTGTTCCACTGCTTGGGAGTATTGCATGTTTTTACATCTGTAACATATCTGAACATGCTTGTAATTGGCATGCTTTTATGTCAGGGTATTTTCCAGAGGCGTTCCAGATCTTTGAGTTTATTTGAAACTTCTTTTCACTCTTTGGAAACTATAATAATGGGTGTGGGCACAGCTTTCAAGGCAACAGAGCCCCAAAAAAGAAGATAACGAAAATAGTATTCAGAGAAAATAAACCAAAAATAACACCCTTGAAGATGCAGCAGAGTTAAGGGAATACCCGCAGCTGTGGCAAGCTATTCTCTGGAGAAAGAGCTTTTATGCTGAACTAAAAGACTGTTACCCATGCCTCATGCCTACCAGAACATGAATTACAGGTGTTGGCTTCATTTTGTTTTCCCAGGTTCTTAGAAGATACATGTGGATATTTTCTTAATTTCTAATAATAAAAGGGAAAATGTAAGTATTGATTCTTTGTGACACAACCCTGCAGATAGGGTTTAAACCCAATATGGGTTGAGAATGATGATGAAGACACAGGGAGTTTTAGTAGACTATGTACAATGAATATTTGTTGGAAATACTTATCTTTGCCACATCAGAGCTTAAACATATCCACAACTATATTTGGCTATAGCTATAAGCCTCTGGTTTAAAATCAATGGTCCCAGTGTGTCCAAACACCAGGGTCAAAATCCTGAGGGAGTGGAGTTTCTATTATATAGCTTGAACTTATTTTTCATGTGGTACAATGACTATGTATTATGCCTATAAAAGTAAGTAATGTAATAAATGTAGAATAGCAGTTAAATTCACATCAGTAAAGGAGGAAAGGGTGCCTATAACTTATATTCCCTCTGCTTTGACATTTTCAGGAGTAATATTATTTTGAAGAGTATGCCAAGTCCATTTATGCTTGCTGTCCTGCTGCCTTCATTCTCGTTTCTGTAACAGAAAATGTTTTGATGCCTACAAAGCTCACACTCTAAAGAGCTTCTGGCTTAGTTCTGCACTGATGCCTTCTTCTTGAGTTGGATTTGTAGATTCAGCACCCATCAGTATTCTTTTACTCTTGAAGAAGTCTATTAGTCTAGCTGCCCACCTATCTATTGTACCATCAGCTATCAACTTTCATGTATCTATCAAAATAAAATGTTCATATGTACATACTGCTTTTGCTTTTAGTGTTAAAATCTCTACTACCTTCTGCCATTGTCTTTCTGAGGTTCCCTCAGCACCAGCCACCCAAGCCTCATTGTTCCATGTGGACTGTGAGCCTATTGTCATAAAACATTTTGTGAATTCCCTTCCTTCAGACCTGGGAAGAAGTCCCATGGTATAGTTTCTTCCCGTGATCCTTCCAAATCTTAGAATGTCACCTTCAAACCATGCAATTTAAAATTTTATTTCCAATTACATGGCTCCTGCTCCCACAGTGTCTATCACCATCCAACATAGTATGTGACATGTCTGACATGATTAGTGCATCAACCTTTGGAATAAAATTCCATTATATCAGTGAATGGAATCTAATTTTTCATTAAAGCATTTCAACATCTAGAGCTCTTTCTGTTACATCAATGGTAATTGTGATGATTAGTGTTAATTCTCAAATTAATGGAATCTTGAATCACTTCAGGGAATGGGCCTCTGAATATGTGTGTAGAGGATTATCTTAATTGGGTTAATTGAAGTGAGAATACCAATAGTAAGTCTGAGTGGAACCATTCAGGATTCAGTGTTTCGGGATTGTTCTTCCTGCCAACCTGGTTACACAGCTGCCTTGCCCCAAATGAACACTCAGAGACTTACATTAATTATAATACTCTTGGGCAATGACTAGGGCTTCTATTGGCTAGCTCTGTCTTAATTATTTACCCATAACTACTAATTTATGTATTTCCACATGATCTTGGCTTACCAGAGAATGCTGGACCTGTAACTCCTTTGCCTACTACATTGCAACTGTTCTGTCAGGCTCTCTTGTCTACCTTTCCCAGACTTCTCCTCCTCTTCTAGTCCCGCCTATTTTACTGCCTCATTGGCCATTGGCCCAATGGTGTTTTAGTCATCAACCAATAAGAGAAACATATACAAAAGGACATCCCTCATCACCAGGCTGGCATTGAAATCACAGGGATCTGCCTGTCTCTGCCTCCCAAGTGCTGGAGTTGTCTTACACATTGAGACCACTGAATTTATTCCTGATGATATGGAATTAACCTCATTGTTTATACAATTACAGGAAACCATCAGATATAGAACTCATTATAAATATGTACATATATATATATATTTATATTATACATCAGACCCCATATGGGTCTACCAGGCCCTCTAGTACAAGGTAATGATGAAACTGATCATTTATTAATAGGAAGTGTGCTGGAAGCTTCAGAATCTCATAAAACACCATGTTAATAACAAAGGCTTAAAGAAGGATTTTTCTATCACTTGGCACAGCCAAGGAAATAATAAGAAACTGCCCCACCTGTTCATTCTATAATCAAATGCCATTACCAGCAGGCGGTCATCTCAAAAGTATTTCCAGAAATGATATTTGGCAAATGGATGTGTTTCACTTTCCAGAAGTTGGAAGTTTAAAATATGTGTGCCATAGCATAGACACATTTTCAGGGTTCCAATAGGCTACTGCTCTTAGCTTGGAAAAGACTGATTCTGTTATCACACACCTCTTAGAGGTGATGGCCATTATGGGTATACCTGCACAAATAAAAACTGACAATGCTCCAGCATGTCTCCAACAAATTGGAACAGTTTTTCAAATATTATAACATAAAACATATAACTGGTATACCATAGAATCCCACAGTACAAACAAGAGATCTATCCGCACTTTAAAAGAAATGCTCCGTAAACAGCCAGAGGGGACAAAGACCCCCAAACACAGATTACATAATGCTCTATTAACATTAAACTTTCTTTTTTTTTCTCTTTTAGATTATAATTTATTTTTTTTAATTTTTTAAAATTTTTTTATTTTTTTCTTTTATTTTCCAGTTTAAATTTAGATAAGAAACAAGGTTGCTTCACAAGTCAGTTCCAGGTCCCTCTCCCATTCCCTCCCCTCTTCCCGTGCCCTTCCCCCAACCCCCCCCCCCCCCCCCGTTATCCCCTCATTCCCCCAGGGAGGGTAAGGCCCTCCATGGGGGTGTCCATAGTCTGTCATTTCATATAGGGCAGGGCCTAGACCCTTCCCCAAGAGTTCAGGGTGAGAGTGCGCCTCACATTGTTCTATGGGAGTCCAAAGTCTGTGTGTATACTTGGGATGGGTACTGATCTGCTACCCAAGGCTCAATAGATTCCCTAGGCCTCCTCATTGACACCCAGATTCAGGGGGTCTTGATCAGTCCCATGCTGGATTCCCAGGCTGATGCCTGGGATTCAAGAGTTAACCTTTGTCTGGTCAGCTGTTTCTGGGGGTTAAACCAGCCCAGTCTTAATCCCTTTGATCATCAGTCCTCCCTCTCTGTTACTGGCTTTCTTGAGTTCAGCTCAGTACTTAACCAAGGGAGTCTGCCTCTTCTTCGATCAGCCACTAAATGAAGTTTCTGTTTCCCAGACTCTCTGGCCATAGGATTGTAGGCTGGCACTCCCCAGATCTATGTCTAAAATCCATATATGAGAGAGTACATGCCATGTTTCTCTTTTTGTGACTGGGTTACCTCACTCAGGATGGTTTCTTCTAGTGTCATCCATTTGCCTGCAAATCTCATGATTCCATTATTTTTTTTTCTGCTGAACATTAAACTTTCTTAATGCTAATGAGAAAGGACAAACAGCTACAGAAAGATATTGGACTACAGAAAAAGCTTCTGAACTAAATCAGCTGGTGTATTTCAAGGATGTAGTGACCCCAGTTTGGAAACCAGGATATGTGTTACATTGAGGTATGGGTTTCATCTTTTTTTCTGCAGGAAAAGAAAAGTTTGGAATTTCGTCAAATTTGACCAAGATTCGATCTGAACAGGAGAAACCTCGGGAGGAGGAAAGATGAAAGCTCATCCACAAAGTCTTATTCCACGACGTATATGGAGACCTCACAAAGGAAAGGGAAGTGTTTTGTTCTTGTCTTAACAGGAAAACCCATCTCCAAATAGCAAGAAGATACTGAACATGTGGATACCTAAAGAAGAGAGGATGGCTAGCCAAAACAACCATTAAACAGAAAAGAAGCTGATATTTGGTATCAATGTCTAATTCTTTTAACTTTTGTCCTTATAAAATCTATTTCTACTTTCTAATAATCTTTTGGTCCCAATTCACTTAAACCAATGCTGACTTTGGAGTTGGATTTGGCTCTCCTTCTCTAAATCCAAGCATGTTGCTAGAATAAAATTCAGAGTTTCTGTATTATATTAATTGATGTAAGACAGAAAACAAATCTTGGTTCTTTCTCTGAAAGTCTAATTTCCCTCATATTTACTATCTTTCTTATTGTTGCCTTTCCTGGTATGCATACATATAATGTTGAAATTTCCTTGTTGACATTAACATTTGAGATTTCCACAGAGAACAAAAAATTTCCTAACAGCAATCTTCAAACACTTCAGAAAGAAAATGGGGCCACACTTCATCGATTCCACCAGATCTGACTTGATGCATCTGAACTGACAACTATCACCCTGTAACCTGTTTGGGACTACATCGTTCTACATGTTCCAGACTAATTAACTGATATGGTGCACCTTAGACACTCTGGCCATAACCTCAGACAAGAGCTTCAATCAACATTAGAACTTCAGCCAAGAACTTCAATCAAGCATCTCCCGCCAAACAGAGACTGAGTACAAGTGTTGTAACTAGTCCACTTGAGACTTTCACTACACTAACATTTTCTTCCTACAGGTTGCTAAGAGGTTATCATCATCCCATTTCAGCAGGAAGTAATTTTGAGAATACTATGCCCCCTTTCCCTGCTGTTGATATTATAGGATAATTTACACTTGTTAGGGTTAATTTTCAATTATTTCAGGGTTGGGATTAGAAGGAGGTGTTTAGACTTAGACTTGTGCATCTCTTTCAGATAAGCTTAGTGTTTAGATGGGCTAGATATGCTTAGGATAGGATATAGGTAGATTATAATTTGTTTATCATTTTCTATGTATATATGCTTTATATATGTTTGAGACAATTTAGTTTTGTTTCTAGTCTAAATCTTTTCTTTAGACTAGAAGGGGAATTGTAGGGAGAGATCTCACATATTGCAGCACTGACCATGTCCATTTGGGCGTGGTCACAGTTATGTGGGGGAAGGCAGAGATAAAGGGCAAGGAAGGAGGGGTCACTTTCTCTCTTGGGGTTCCAGTTGAGGTCGGAGACCAGCAGAGCTCTGACCTCAGTTCTTGGCTTCTCACATAAGTGATTTCTCCCTAATAAAATAACATACATCATCCCTATCCTGTGTATGGTAATCTTCCTCATCAAGCTGGGTCCCAGACTATAAACTGGAGCCATAAGCCAGAATAAAGCCATTCTCACTTATATTACTTTTGTTAGAGTTTTTATCACAGCTACTGGAAAAGAAACCAAAACAATGCTTAGTAAATACCTGTTACTTAATGGAACTAAATTTTAGACAAGAAGGGAAATAATCCCCTTTTCTTTTCTTTTTCTTTTTTTTTTAGCTTGTTTTACATGTCAATCCCAGTTCCCTCTCCCTCCCCTCCTCCCACACCCCACCCCCACCATCCACCCCATCCTCCCACCCTATCCCCACCATCCACCCCATCCTCCCACCCTATTGCCAATTCCTTCCGCATAGGGGATATCTAGAGTCTATCATTTCATTTAGGGTAGAGTCCAGGCACTTCCCTAAGAATCCAGGCAGAGAGAGCAACCCTCTTTGTGTTATGGACACACGATGTCTGTTAGTATTCGAGGGATAAACACTGATCCACTGCTCAGGACCCCATAGGTAGCCCAGGCCTCCACATTGACTCTCACATTCAGGGGGTCTGGATCAGTCCCATGCTGGCCTCCCAGCTGTCGGTCTGGGGTCCAAGAGCTCTCCCAATAATCCCATTTTCTAAAGACAGGCAATTGTCATGCAAACATCAACAATATGCATGTGCATCATAAACGATCAAAACTACTCAACTACTTTTTTTTAGTTTCTCTCATTAGAAGTCATCAATTTCAACTTTTCCTTGGTTACATAGGGTTCTTATGTAATACATAGTTCTTTAACACAGTGAATTCAAGTCTAAAGTTGTGAGCTCAAGGATAGTTTAGGTTATACAATGAAACCCTGTCTAAAAGTAAACAAAATCAAAACAAGAAAATAACTGAGTGCTGTACTGAACTCAGTTTGTGGTTGCCACTCTTTTTGTTAAAATTTTATGATCGTCGCACTTAATCTCATTAAAGTGTTTTTATTTAATTAAAGGATGTCATACTCTGGTTGATTTACAGTTTTTTGTTTGTTTTTGCTTTAAATTGTTTTGCACTGACATTAGGATATAATTTTCAAGTAAATTTAATATTATCTGTAGAGTTTGTAATTTATAGGATATGATGGTCAAATAGAATATGTCTCAAAGCACAATGGTGCTTATTGTGGTTTCGAGTACTGTTACTGTTTGTTGTAAATAGACCTTATTTAAGTTAAAAAAGTAGAAACTATTTTATTGTTTCTGGCCTAAAAAATAATGCTGGCACTGGTGTTGTGAATTGCATAATTGGCCTTAATCCACTGCCATAATTAACTGACTTCAATGTTGTCTCTCAAGAGCAGTTAGATTGTAATTATTTTCTCGTATGTACCATGCCATGATAATGAAGACTTATAAGTAGAATTTTCACACTACACAAAACAGGCAAATCAGCAGACATTCCTTTCCAGAACATATACATGTATGCATATGCATATGTTATATGTTAAAATATAGCCTCCTAAAATCAAAGCAGTTTCTTCATAAAGAAGCCTGGTTTATCAGTTCTTAAAATGAGGAAACCAAGCAGAAGCTTCCATTATAACCCCAATGAAATGTCTGAGAAACAGGTTGTACCGAAAACACAAAACAAAAAACCAAAAAGCAGCAAATGTGTCATTAAAACTGTGAAATGTTAAAGACAATTATATTTAAGTTTTGCCTGACTTAACGTTTCAAAAATCCCTTTCTAAAACAACCGTGATATAAATTTACATAACTGGGTGACACCAGCACCCTGCTACTCTGGGAAACCCCAGAAAGATCTATCAAAACCCATGCAGCGATTTGCAGACTGCTTCTCAGACCTCGGTACCTGATGCGGAGAGCACAGCTTCTTGTCTCCAGTCAGCCGGTTCCCATCCAGAGAGAACAGGAAGCTTCTTCGCTTGACACTGTCTTCGGATTCTGACTTGGGAAACCTGTCCCCTTCGGTTCTGTGGTTTCCCTCCAAGTGCTCCCTCTGTCTCCTTTTCTTTCTCCGGTTCCTCCACTCCTTGGCACTCTTGGAGCTTAACTTGGAAGCTTCTGAAGAACTCTCCAGCAGTTCTCCTAACCCTCCTATGCCACTGAAGTCTCTGGATGCCGCCGAGGCTGCAGCCACTGCCTGTTGAGAATGGGTCATGAGATGCTTAGAGTAAGTAGTGCCTGGAAGGAGGAGCTAGGGCAGGCATGCTGCCACCTATGATCACCAACTAGGAGGAAGAACTCTGCATTCTGGTTTACTTAACAATAGCCATTATCTTTTTTTAAAGGTGTAATACAATGTACGTTAAAGCAAGAACAACCCAGTATGGCATATGCTCTGGCGGGCCTTTAAGTGTTGAACTCTGCAGAGGTTAGCTTCATTTCAGGAGACATTTGCTGACCTGAAAGAATTTTGTCTCCATTAAGAGCACCTGTTTCTTTGGAGCTACATACATCCTCTTTGATCTCGGTCTTGCTTCTCCCCAGGGATTGTTCATCTTCTGTGTGATTGTGAATAAGCCTGTGGCCCTGCATAATTTGTTTGCTTTTCTTTTAATTTTGTGACATTTCAAGCTCAGGGTGTGGTGGTGTCCATTTGTAACCATAGCACTTGGAGGACAGGGGAAGGAGGACTGGGAATTTGTAACTAGCCTGGTCTACATAGTACAGCCCCATCTGAAACCCAACCCAAAGCAAACCTTCAATGTGTGACTATTTTATCTTAGAGGAAAGAGTTGGACATGGATGGACCAGATCCTTTACATCTTTGGCTCGGATTACAACTAGTCATATGGTTCACATCTCTGAGGTATTTTAATTCCAGACAGTATTGCACAGGATTTTCAGTTGTAAAATTTTAAACGCTTACAAATTTTGTACTACTGTTATGATGATAAGCATATTAATAAATTACTGATTTTTTCTTAAGATTATGAAAGCATCTCATATTTTTTCTTTGTGTGTCTCAGCATCATGTATTCTTATATTTTTGGTTGTGAGCCTAGCCTTTAACAGCTGAGCTATCCCTCCAGCCCAGCATCATGTATTCTTATAAATTTTGAGTTTCTGGACTTATCAGTGTAACAATCACAGTAAAAACATAGTGAATGTTTTGCATTTCCATCATAGGAATCATATTTTCAGGCTGGAAATGATTTAACCATGGCTTAGTGAGGATATGCAACAGCATATCATATATCGAGCCAATATACTCGGAGTACAAAAGATTAGGTTATGAAATTATTGGCCACATTTTTTCATATGCCATTATTACATATAATTACATATAAATAACTCCAGCGTATCTACCATTTTGCTTATCTTCCTCATGGAGTGTAAGCCACACAGGCATTTTATTTTTTCCTTTATAGTGGCTGGTGTGTCATCTTACATAGAAAGTCTTCAGTAAATCCTTGGTGAGCAAAGACATAAAATGCATCTTATTGTCAGTCTCTTGACACTAGGGTCGTGTGTGGGACAACTTAGCTTTGATCTTCAAAAATCTCCCAGAAGGCTGTGTGGGGATGGTGTGTATAAGCACAGTTTTCTTTAGGAAGGGATAAAGGCAAAACCCATTTAATGAATTTGGTCATCACTGTATGCTCTGTTCCAGGAAATAAACAAGCCCGCATGGGTATCTTTTCAACTTTATGTTAACTAAAATTTAAAAAGCCTTAACATGAAACACACTATATTTCAGTGTTTCTTGGGTCAGTGAGATCTCAGTGGGCAGTTGGATACTGAGTACAGTCTGAATTTGTGTGTTGGACTCAGCAGTATAGAAGTGTAACATAGATATTTGTTTATATTGAGCACTAGACCCATGCAGGGTCCTGGATTTACACAATGATGTAAGACAATGCCTGCAAATAACTGAAACCGTAACACTGCATTTAGCTGTTTCTAAAACTGTGTAAGATAATTGATTTTTTTTATTTTTGACTGTTCATCATTTCTTCAATCATCCATGATGACAGATGAGGAATAGTGAAGATACTGAATAATATAACTACATATATGCACTAAAGTAAATCAACAAAGCACTTGTTGACAGCAAATAAAATACAATGCAGCCTGTGCTATGTATAGGAGGTACATAATATGTATTGCCAAATGTCAATACACACGTGCCTTTGTTCTATCCAAATAAAGTCCTGGTTTTCCTTTCTTTCACGTACAGACACAAATACAGGACTGCCAGTGACAACATTTATGGGTTTGTTTGTCCCTGGAAATGTAGGAAGTTGCAGTAATACTCTGGCCACAGTCCTGAAACTATCATTCATTTAAATCACTTCTGGAGTTTGCTTTGCATATGACACAATTTCCCTGCCTATTCTGAGTAACAGCTCAAACAATTCAAAGCCAAAACAGTTTTGTTTTTAAGGCAACAAAAGCAACCTCCGACACAACACATTTTCCATGTCACTCATCAACTCAAATCTGTCACTTGTTCCGTTTTCAGAGATTTGCCGACTCCCTCAAAGGCAGATGTTTCCTGTCATTGCTCATGTCTGTGCACCTGTTGAGTCCCAACTCTGATATGTGGCCAATGTCCTGCTTGCTCAGACTCATAGTCAATCATTCACAACTAACCTCCAGAAGTCAGGTTGCTGTGCCTCTTCCCACATCCTTCTTCTTGCAGTAACTAGAGAGCATCCCCACGCCTTTTAATCCAGTCCCATGTTCCTACCTCTTCAAATTATGACTGTCTAAGTCATTACACACTACAATACCCAGTCACTAAGTAAACTTCAGCATTGAAATTTTCACTACTTGATATCAGATGTGTTTCTAGTACCTTAATTTGAACAACAACAAGCAGTCTTGGTAGTATAGCAACTCCAAAGAAGTCTGAAATGCTGCCATTCACAGAGGTTTTTCATAAACTATAGAGATGAATTAACTTCAGATTACAACTTCAAAGATTACTATTGGAAGGCAACATTGTTAGTTGGAAATCTCAACTGTATTTCTTAAAGACCAACCTCAGTTTCCATGAGACTATTGCATAATGAGCCTTATCCTTATTGTATCCCTACATGCTAACTAATTTCTCTATGGAATACAATGTGCTAAAAAGTTTATTTGAGACTCTTGGCACTGCTTCAAGTGAGTGTGGGCTCTTCTCAGGCCCCCAACTCCTGGCCATCACCCCCCTCCCTCAATTTTCCAGGGCATGTTCCTCTCATTGAGGGGACCTGTCCAGACAGGAAGGACATGAGTCTTGCCACACCCAACTCTTGGCTCCCCCTCCTCCCATCTAGCTCTGCTTGAGTATGGAGAATACCAGGAGAAGCCAGACCATCTAGAGTTGCAGACACTGAAGTCTTGGTCCACATGTGCCACCAGAAGAATAGATTAGATGGAGAAAACCCACCTTCACCCACTCGAAGAAGGCATGGGATGATGACAGTATATGAACACACTCGGCAATAGAAAGACCAATATGACACCACCAGAATCTAGAGACTCCACAACAGCAAGACCTGAAAATCCCAATGCAGATGAAGCAGAAGAGACAGACCTTAAAATTTATGAAGACAATATAGACCCTTAAAGAGGAAATGAGAAAATCCTTTAAAGAAATAGAAGAAAAAAAAACAAACCCAAATACATGAAATGGAGGAAAAGACAAATCAAAAAATTCAAGAAATAAACAAATCTCTTAAAGAATCTAAAGAGAGCCAAGAAAAAAAAAAAAGCAAACAAGAGAAGGAAACAACTCAAAAAGTTCAAGGCTTTTGAAAGCTGAAATAGAAACAATAAGGAAAACACAGAAGGAGGGGATGCTGGAAATAGAAGAGCTGTGTAAATACATAAATGATCAGGAACTACAGATGTAAGTATAACCAATAGAATACAAGAGATGGAAGAGAGAATCTCAGGTGTTGAAGACTCACTAGAGGATATACAGTCATCAGGCAAAGAAAATCTCAAGTCCAACAAATCCCTAACACAAAATATGCAGGAAATATGGGAAACTGTGAAGAGGCCAAACCTAAGAATAATAGGTATAGAAGAAGGTGAAGAAATACAGCTCAAAGGCACAGAAAACATATTCAACAAAATCATAGAAGAAAAATTCCCCGTCCTAAAGAAGGATATGCCTATGAAAGTACAAGAAGCCTACAGAACACCAAATAGACTGAACCACAAAAAGAAGTCCCCTCGACACATAATAATCAGAACACCAAACCTACAGAATGAAGAGAAAAAAACATTAAGAGCAGAAAAAGAAAAATTCCAAGTAACATAAAAGCAGACCTATTCGAATTACACCCTAATCCTCAATGGAAACTATGAGAGCCAGAAGGTCCTGGATAGATGATCTACAAACACGGATGCCAGCCCAGACTACTGTACCCAGCAAAGCTTTCAATTACTATAGATGGAAAAAACAAGACATCCCATGAGAAAACCAGATTTAGACAATATATGTTCACAAATCCAGCCCTACAGAAAGTACTGGAAGGAAAACTCCAACCCAACAAGGATAACTACACCCACAAAAACACAGGCAATAGATAATCCCACTTTATCAAACACCAAAGGAAAAAAAGGGGGGAAACCACACACAATAACACCACCACCAATAAATATAAAACAAACAAAAACCAACAATCAATGGTCATTAATATCTCTCAATGTCAATAGTCTCAACTTACCTTTAAAAGACACAGGCTAACAGAATGAATAGGAAGACAGAATCCATCCTTCTGCTACACACAAGAAACACATCTGAACATCAAAGACAAATGTTACCTCAGAGTAAAGGGTTGGAAAAAGACTTTCCAATCAAATGGATCCAAGAAACAAGCTGGTGTAGCAATCTTAATATCTAACAAAATAGACTTCATACTAAAATCATTCAAAAGAGATAAAGAAGAGCATATTTCATATTCATCATAGGAAAATCCATCAAGATGAAGTCTCAATTCTGAACATCTATGCCCCAAATTTTGAAGGCACCCACATTCATAAAAGAAACATTATTAAAGCTCAAATTGCACATAAGACCTCACACACTTATAGCAGGAGACTTCAACACTCCACTCTCACTACTAGACAGGACCATCAGAGAGAAGCTTAACAAAGAAACAAAAGAACTGACAGAAGTTTTGACCCAATTGGAATTAACAGACATCTATAGAACATTCCATCCAAACACAAAAGAATATACCTTCTTCTCAGTTCCACATGGAACCTTCGGTAAAAGTGACCACAAACTCAGCATCATAGAAAACGTCCACAGATACAAAAAAATTGGAATAACCCCTGTATCTTATCAGACCATTATGATTTAAAGTTAGAATTCAACAACAATGCAAATTGCAGAAACCCTACAAACTCATAGAAATTGAACAATGAACAATTGCACCACTCCTGGGTCAAGGAAGAAATAAAAAAAGAAATTAAAGACTTCCTGGAATTTAATGAGAATGAAGACACAACATACCCAAACTTATGGGACACTTTGAAAGCAGTGCTAAGAGGAAAGTTCATAGTACTAAGTGCTCACATGAAGAAACTGGAAAATAGTCACACTAGAGAATTAACAGCACAACTGAAGGCTCTAGAACAAAAAGAAGCAAACTCACCCCAGAGGAGTAGATGCCAGGAAATAATCAAATTGAGGGCTGCATTTAGTAAAGTAGAAACAAGGAAAGAATCATGGAAACAAAGAGTTGGTTCTTTGAGAAAATCAAAAAGATAGAAAAACCTTTATCCAAACTAACCAAAAGATAGAGAGAGAGCATGTTAATTAACAAAGTCAGAAATGAAAAGGGGGACATAATACCAGACAATGAGGAAATCCAGAGAATCATCAGGTCATACTTTGAAAACCTGTACTCCACAAAATTTGAAAATCTAAAAGAAATGGACAATTTTTGGATAGATATCACTTACCAAAATTAAATCAAGAACAGATAAGCAATTTAAATAGACCCTATAACCCCTAAGGAAATAGAAGCAGTCACCAAAAGTCTCCCAACCAAAAAGCCCAGGCCCAGATGGTTTCAGTGCAGAATTCTACCAGAAATTCAAAGAAGATATCAGTATTTTTCAAACCGTTCCACAAAATAGAAGCAGATTGGATACTGCCAAACTCTTTTTAGGAGGCTATAATTACCTTGGTACCCAAGCCACACAAAGACACAACTAAGAAAGAGAACTATAGACCAATATCCCTCATGAACATTGATGCAAAAATACTCAGCAAAACACTGGCAAATCGAATCCAATAACACATCAGAGAAATCATCCACCATGATCAAGTAGGCTTCATCCCAGAGATTAAGGGATGGTTCAACATATGAAAATCCATCAGTGTAATCCACGATATAAACAAGCTGAAAAAAATGAACCACATGGTCATTTCACTAGATTTTGAAAAAGCCTTTGGCAAAATCCAACATCCCTTCATGATAAAAGTCTTGGAGGGATCAGGAATAACAAGAACATTCTTAAACATGATAAAAACAATATACAGTTAAACAACAGCCGACATTAAACTAAATGGGGAGAAACTCAACAGGATTCCTCTACAATCTGGAACAAGACAAGGCTGGCTGTCCACCCTCTCCATATCTCTTCAACATTGCACTTGAATTTCTAGCTAGAGCAATAAGACAAGAATGGAGATCAAGGGGATACAAATTGGAAAGGAAGAAATAAAAATGTTACTATTTGCAGATGATATGATAGTTTACGTAAGTGACCTGAAAAACACTACCTTCAGAAAAGTGTCAGGATACAAGATCAACTCAAAAAAATCAGTAGCCCTACTATATACAGACAATAAACGGGCTAAGAAAGAAATCAGAGAAACATCACCCCTTACAATAGCCACAAACAACATAAAATATCTTGGGGTAACATTAACCAAACAAGTGAAAGACCTGTATATCACGAACTTTGAGTCTTTAAAGAAAGAAATCAAAGAAGATATCAGAAAATAGAAAGATCTCCCATGCTCTTGGATAGGTAGGATCAATGTAGTAAAAATGGCAATCCTGCCAAAAGCAATCTACAGATTCAATGCAATCCCCATTAAAATACCAGCACAATTCTTCACAGACCTCGAAAGAACAATAATCTATTTTGTATGGAAAAACAAAAGACCCAAGATAACCAAAACAACCCTGTTCAACAAGGCAATGTTTGGAGGCATCACCATCCCTGACTTCAAGCTCTATTATAGAGCTATAGTCCTGAAAACAGCTTGGTATTGGCACAAAAATAGTCAGGTAGACCAATGGAATTGTATTGAAAACACTGTTATTAACCCACACACCTATGATCACCTGATTTTTGCCAAGGAAGCTAAAGTTATACAATGGAAAAAAGGAAGCATCTTCAACAAATGGTGCTGGAATAACTGGATGCAGACATGTAGATTACAGATAGATCCATATATATTGTCTCACTCAAAACTTAAATCCAAATGGATCAAAGACCTCCACATAAATCCAGCCACATTGAACCTCTTAGAAGAGAAAGTGGAAGGTACCCTTGAATAAATTGGTACAGTGGAATGATTCCTGAACATAACATGGTAGCACAGACACTGAGATCAACAATTAGTAAACAGGACCTCCTGAAACTGAGAAGCTTCTGTAAGGCAAAGGACACAATCAACAAGACAAAATAATAGCCCACAGAATGGGAGAATATCTTCACCAACCCCATATCTGATAGAGGGCTGATTACGAAAATATACAAAGAACTCAAGAAGCTAGCCACCAAAACACCAAACAATGCAATTAAAAAGTGGGGTACAGAACTAAATAGAAAATTATCAATAGCGAAATCCAACACACTTAAGAAAGTGCTCAACATCCTTAGCCATCAGGAAAATGAAACTCAAAACAACTCTGAGATGTGGTCTTAAACTGGCCAGTATGGCTAAAATCAAAAGCACCAATGACAGTCTATGCTTCAGAGAATGTGGAGAAAGACTAAAACTCCTTCATTGCTGGTGGGAGTGCAAAGTTGTACGGCCACTTTGGAAATCAGTCTGGCGATTTCTCAGGAAAATGGTAATGAGTCTACCTCAAGATCCAGCAATCCCTCTTCTGGGCATGTACCCAAAGAATGCACATTCATACAACAAAGACATGTTCAACTGTGTTCATAGCCGCATTGTTTGTAATTGCCAGAAGCTGGAAGCAACCTAGATGCCCCTCAACTGAAGAATGGATAGAGAAAATGTGGTACATTTTAACAATAGAGTACTACTCACTGGGAAAAAAATGGAATCTTGAAATTTACAGTAAAATGGATAGAACTAGAAGAACCCATCCTAAGTGAGGTAACCCAGTCACAAAAACAGAAATATGCTATGTATCACTCATATATGTTTTCTAGACATACAGCAATGAATTATCAGCCTACAATTCATACCACCAGAGGAGCTGGGAAACAAGAGAAAAACACATGGTCCCCCAAAGAAGGGGACGGGTACAAGAACCCCTGAACATATTGGGAGCACAGAAGGAGAAAGGAGGGATATGGAAAGGGAAGATGGGGAGGATGGGGGGAGGAGAACAGGAGGACTGAGACAGGGCAGGAATAGAGGAGGACAAGAAAAGAGATGCCTTGATAAATGGAGCCAGTACAGGTTTGGAGAGAGGTCTGGCACAGAGGAAATGGTAGGGATCCACAGGGATGATCCCAACTAAGAATCTAGGCAGTGGTGGAGAGGCTGCCTTTGATGCCCTTCCCCTATGAGATTGAGGACTACCTTGGTTACTATTCCTAGAGCCTTTACCGAGTAGCTGGTCAAAGCAGATACAAGCACTCACAGCTGAGCACTGAGCCATTCTCCTGGAATTCAGTTGTGGAGACGGAAGAGAGATAGCAAATGAACTAAGACGGAACTGGAGATACCTGCAGAAACAGTTGATCTGACCTAATGAGAGCACACAGACCATAGTCGTAAAGCGGGGGAATCATCATTGAACCAAACCAGGCTCTCCGAATGTGTATGCCAGCTAGTAGGCCAAGGCAGTCTGTGGAACCTCCAACAGTGGAGTCAGTGTTTATTCCTAGGTCACAAATGGAATTTGGGAGCCCATTCCCTAAAGGATACTATTGCAGTCCAGATACTGAAAGTAGGGCCTGAGTCCTCCCCCCAAATGTTGGGATAGACTTTGATGATCTCCCCTGGAGGGTCTCACTGTCCCTGGGAAGTGGGTGGGGGTGGGCAGGGGAGTTGGTGGAGAGCATAGGAGGATGGGAGGGTGAAGGAATGGTGGGATGGGTATGTAAATAAGAGCATCTCTAAAATTAAAAAAAAGTTTATTTGACTCCAGCTTTATGAATTATTTTGAGTCGCTTTCCGTTTTCTAATTCCAATGACTACATACAATCATACAATACAAAACGGGAGCTCTGGGTTAGTTATGACGGCCAAAGACTGCAAAAAAGAAAAAAAATAGCAATGAAGAGCTGACAGCCGTCCTGTACCTGGGCCTCCTCCTGCTGCTTCTTCAACTGCTCCAACATCTGCTGAAACTCCGCCTCTTTCTGTTCAGCCTCCTCCAAGGTGGCCTGATTCTGTTCCTCATAGGCCATGGCCACCACAGCCAGGATCAAGTTCACCAAATAAAAAGAGCCCAAGAAAATCACCAGGACAAAAAATATCATATAGGTCTTCCCAGCTGCACGTAATGTCTAGTGTAGAAAGGGGATAATTTCATGGATGTTTTAATATAATATCTCCAAATAAAAGTCAGTCTACAACAGCTAGAAACCAGGACATTGATAGTTTTTTTGTATCCAACTATTTTAACCAGGTAATTTTTGTTGTTTAATGAGCAAATATGTACATATAAACATAACAATCAGATCATCAGCAGTATGACTGCCATGTCGTTTGACCTGAAATTTCAAAATAGTATTTGCTTGATCTATATCAAAGTATTGTTATTAAGGTTCCTAATGCAAGACAATGCTATAAATATTCTGCTTCCCCATTTTCTACAGATTCAGCTAAATGATTTTCATGTAAAAAATTCCCCATGCACATACTTCAATAATATGAGTATGTTTGTGTACATATATGAATGCATATGCTTCATGTAAGAAACTCTCCATGTTTTTTATATCTATTCATATATCAATACTTCTAGGATGAAGCCCATATCAGAAGGTCTTTTGTCTAAGAAACTTACTTATTGTGCGTATTGTGCTTGTATATCAAAGAGATGGGGTGAGCGAGAGATAGGAAGGAGAGGGGAGAGGAGGGTAGTAGAGGAGAGGGTAGGAAAGGAGACTAAGGAGGATTCTAGGCACATCTATTCTAATATTATAACCTCCTTAATATCCCTGAGTGTTAAGAATCAGTACTTAGAATTTCATGTGAGTTCATCAATATAAATCCTACTTGTATAAATTCAGTTCATACCAACTGGTAAAGATTCTCCCAGTAATCTTGAGTCATGAGTCGAAACAGAGATAAGAAGGCCCAGCTAAATGTGTCAAAACTTGTGTAGCCATAGTTGGGGTTTCTTCCAGCTTTCACACAGATGTATCCTTCCGGACATTGTCTGTGAAAGAAAGAAACAATGGTGAGAAAGTGCAGCTATTTCCACCAATCATTCTTTATAGGTGTTGCAGAAAGCCAAAGTTATTATCTATGATGAGGCTTTCATTTCCAGACCGCTTTAACTGATGGCTCACAGGTGAAATTTGAGACATCAGCAGAAAATGGAAGAACAGGGAGTCGAATTTATGGCATTTGAAAAGGTGAGAGTGTAGCAGCCAGACATTCCAGGTCTGACGTCATCATCATGCACCCTTCCCAAAGTGGTAAGAATCAATAGCTCAGAGTTGAGGATAAAGCATCAGCAGGTCGGAAGTAAGTCAGCAAGATGGCCTGTTGACCAGTTCCGTAGAGTTGTCTGAAATAACTTCACATTTCAAAACCCTCAGCTTTAAGGAAATATATGACGAGAGTAGACTTTCCTATACCATGATGCTTGGGTCTTAAGTACAATCTTTACTCACATGTCCCCAGTTTTGCCTTAGCACACTTCCATCCCAGATAGTTTTCATTTTCCTCCCTTTCTGGACTCGACTCTTTAGAACAGAAAAAAACGTACCATGCATGCTTAACAACTAAGCAGCAATCTCTTTAAAGGCAAGGTGTGTGCAAAACTCTATGTGGGATTTTACTGCATGGGGTATTTGTCTGCAATCTCTAAGTTTTTACATTAGTATATAACCATGGGTATGTATTTTATACTTTGAATGATATTTTATTTCTTGCTAAAAATTCCCTTCTTTGACCTCTGGGAGCTGTTTGAGTTGGCATGGGTTACAGAAAACCTCCATGATTTCATACCTTGTTATTCCTTTTATCCCCTATCAATTTTTAACTTTCTGGTATATTTCAGCCTAATCTTTTGTTATTTCCTGAGAGAGTGTTAGAATCAGGCACTCCTCTAAGTAGTCCTATTCCTCTTAAGGAGAACAGTATCAGAAACCAAAGTCTGCGTGGCAGGTGGTGTTTATTGCTACTGAGCTGTCTCTACTTCTGGGGCCCTGAGCTTATGGACAAAGAAAGTACTCATGCACATCCTTACTTATGATGCGCACACATATAAACACATAAATATTTCTACATGTAGCTATTTGTGCTTATATGCAGCTGCACTTGGAGTACATCTTTTACCTCGAGCTCTAACCCATCAACACAAGGGCCTTTCTAGACCTCTCCCATTGCTTGCTTGTAACTTATCAGTCTTGCAGTGATCAGTCTGGCTCCACCATCCCGATCCATTTTCTAAGTTGTGCGACACTAGTGTATATGCACAGAGGCTTTGGGATTGGCCATCTGTGCTACCATAGAAGAGATTTCATTGCTAGGCAACTGCTCCTTTATCTTTAGTGTCACAGACTCTGATCACATCCTAAGGTAAAGTTAGGACATTTACCTATTTATCTTTTTACCTCACATTTTTGAGGTTGCTTCATATATTTGTGCTATCTTTAAATTCTTTTGTCATAAATTTATTTAAATTTCATTTGGGAACCCTCAAACCTCCCAATGGGCTTTAAATTTCGCATCAATTATTTTCCCTTCTGTATTCCATGACTTGACAAATGTTTAATATATTTGCCACAAAACAATCATATACTCTTCCCACCTTAAAAAATCTGTGTTATTCATGTAGTTCATTCTTCATCAGGAGTCCCTTTAAACTCTCATCTTTTGTTCCTCTTTGTTGTTTTGTCCTTTTTGGATGTCATGTGACTATAATCTGGGGAGCGCATAGCTTTTTCAGGTTGAATTTTTTTCCTTTCTCACATATAAATATGAGTTTCAGATTAATTTATCATTTAGCAGTATTAAATTTATGTGCATGCATAGTTTATGTGTTTATTTAGATATGCAATGGCATCTTGGCTGCTTCTAGTTTGTGCTGATTTATGTATACAGATGAGGAAAATAGTACCTTGCAGATGTCTGTGTAAATGTGTTTTCTTATTAATTATCTCTCTATCTAGCCTTGTGGTAGTATGACTATTTATTTTCTAAGAGTTTTGCAAACTCTCAGAGAGGCATCCATTCTTATTATTCACACATAAGGCATTTCTCCCACCTTTCAAAAATAAAATTTCCACGTCTTTATTATTATTATTGTTGTCACTATGTCCTTCTTACCCTGCGTCAGAGCCATTTCCACAGAGCAAAGGGTCTTTCTGTCCATCCAAAACATAAAAGTGGCCTGTTAATATAAAGAATAACCAATTTGATTCCATATTAAACTCTATTTACAGTGAAAACACAGCATAGTTGGGGGTTGGTGTGATGAGATGACTCCATGGGTAAAAGTGCTTGCTTCTGACCTTGACAACCTGAATTTGATCCCTAGGACAAACATGATAGAAGGAGAGACCTGACTCCCAGAATTATTCTGACTTCTTCATGTGTGCCGTTGTGCACAGGTGCACCCCCCACACACGATTTTTTTGTAATACATTTTTTAAAGAATTCATCATTTTGATGCTATTTCCCAAGGGCTCACCAACAAAGTGGCTTCACACATATAAACTGCTTATAGCTGACCACTCTCTCAGCAACACTAAGGATAACATAGGGTGGCAATACTCCTTACTGTCATCTGCGATGTAATCCTTCCAGTTGAATGTGCTCACTGTTACATTAACAAATGTCCCATTTGAATCCATTGTGCCATTGAAATAAGAAGTAGTGTTAGTTTCAAAGGCAGAATCGCTTGGGGGCCACTGCAAACATTTATTCCTCAGGTTGCCCATGAAGAGCTGCAGCCCAATTAGTGCAAAGACACTGAGACAGAACACAGTGAGGATCATGACATCGGACAGCTTCTTCACCGACTGGATCAGGGCCCCCACAATGGTCTTCAAACCTTTGGAGAGAAAGCTGTATGTCAGCTGAGGAGTAGAGCAATATATGACAACATTCCTTCTTAGTTGGTGCACGCATTCTACATCCCCCATGAATGACAGCCCAGCTACATGAACATAGAAGCCTTAGGAACAGTTTCATGACTTGGAAACAGATGGAGGGCTGACTTTCTGTATGAACACCATGCTGCCAGAGGGTTCTGAACCACTCTTCACCAATCTTCAGCAAGTTCTGTCTGTGTGATATCACATATTATCACAAGCATGTAGGAAACTAAATTGCAGTTACTTTTTATTTCAAATACTGTGTTTCGCAAAGCTATTTCTCCCAACCCATTCTTTATGCCAGCCTGCAGGAAGCGGTGATTAAAAGGCAGAAATAATTTTAAGACTGTAAAGATCCCATGCCACGCACATGCTGCTCCATAACCTTCTCTCCTTTATAAATGATGATCTATTTTTGAAATAGATCTGGAGCAAATGGTAAAGTACAAGGCAGTTAGGAAAGCCATTGAGAGCAAAGCTTTATCAGAACGCAGGAGAGAAGACATACATCTTAAATACAAGAAAGGGGTTATGAAAACACTCATCAATGAGATATTCATGTCCCATGCAACTTTCCATTAAACTCAGAGGCTGACTTTATGAATAAGGTTGAAATTGCCAACATTGTAAGGAACTGAACTAACACTGAAACATGATTTGGCATTCTTGAATGTAACAGACCAGAAAAACAAGCAACAAGGCCAATGGTGGGTTTGCAACTCCAATATTATTTTGGCTTATTTAAAGACAGCCTCGGTGTTTAACCTAGCTCTCACCTGGAATGACTGAAATTGTTTTCAGTGCTCGGAGAACTCTGAACGTTCTCAACGCTGAGACATTGCCCAGGTCCACAAACTCTGTCACATATCTGTAATAGGGAGTTCACACACAAACACAATAACACACAAGAAAAGTTGGAGATATAAGGGCCTACCACCTTACACCATTTTCTTCTTACCTGGAATTACAGAAATAGTTTTCAGAGCTCGCAAGACTCTGAAAGTTCGAAGGGCTGAAACATTGCCTAGGCTTACAAATTCTGTTACATACCTGTAGGATTAAATCAGAGTTACAGATAGTTTTGGCAAAGTTAATTTTAAGTAACTAATGCTGGGTCGGCATCTAGAGCCCCTTGAGATATACAAACAAAATTGATATAGAAGCCCAGGGTGCCAAAGGCTGAAGGCTGCCTTTAAGGGAAAAAATAATACTTTATTTCAATGTAATTTTCATTTACATGAAGATGATTGTTTGCAAAATTTATTGCAGCATAGCAGTTTCTATTAAATTGTAGTTAATGAGTAACTTGATTTTGATGACAAGAAAGATGGTAGGATATGACTCCAGTTATTGCCCAAAGACTATGGGACAATAAAATAATTCCATGCGTTGCTGATTTGCTAGACATTATGTACCTTTTAATATTTAGTCAAATGCATATCATAATGTATATGGCATAGAGTTGAGTTGAGTTGACTAACGAGAAAGCTCTGTACTCAAAACATGTCTTAACTAGATTTACATAGCCAGTTTTTTCATTCCTTTGAATTTATCAGTTAAAAAAAAATTACTCACGCCATCACGATGACACTGAAATCCAGCCAGTTCCATGGGTCACGAAGGAATGTGAAATCTTCTAAGCAAAACCCTCTTGCCAAAATCTTTATAAGGGACTCAAAGGTATAGATCCCAGTGAATGTATACCTAGGAAAAGCACCCAATTGTGAAGTCAAAGAGATGGTTTTGAGCATTGTAAACTCTAGCTTTTTTCTTTTAAATTTTCCAGTACTTAGTTTCTTTTTTTGTATTTACCCAAGAATCTTAATTTAGTTGTTCTTATTAAACTGAATAAAGGATTAAATTAAGGAGAAAACAACGTATTTGTTAAAAATATATTCTTCAAAACTGTTATTGCTAAACCTCTTATGTTTCAGAGCAATAGTTTATTGGAAGAGTTGGGGAGGGTGAACATGATCAAAATACCTTGTATGAAATCCTCAAAGAACTAACAAAAATATTCACAAAAGGAATAATAGTTTCTCATGTTTTGTGGATTACCATTAAGCTCGAGCTTTTAGAGAATCTACAGAAGTTGAATGTCAGCTATAAACCCAGCGTTCTAACTGCTGGTGGCAAGTGGCAACAACTAGACAAGTTGTCACTTTCAGTCTTTCAGTAGCTACATAGTTGTTTTCTTTGAGAGGCATCAGAGTGTGCATTCGTGCACCTTTACTGAAATACTCCCATTCATGATTTCTAATGATTAACCTCATTTAAGACTATTATAGTGGACTGTAAATAGATTTTATTTTTTATTCTTGAATCAGGTATAGAATTATAAAACTATCCCCCATCTGTCTCTGTGTCTCGTTCATGTATACAGTTATTATTCCATAAAATGTAATGGTTTTCTAGCATCTCATGTCCGTATTGGCCTAAAATCCTCAGATCATAGATATACTAAATTCTTCAATATAATTTTGTATTAAACTTGCTTGGATTCTAATCTCAGCCTTCAAAGGGTAAACAGATTTTGGGTTTGTGGTCTGTCATTGTGCATTCTAGCCTGTTTTTCTGAGAGGCGACAATTTAAGTTATTTTGGTTTCTTCCAAAAATAGTGGAGAGTGCTTGTTTTTAAACACTATGTTCTTTAAAAGTACAATTTGGGTTTATTTTTCTGAGTGTTTCATCTAAGTCATAGAAACATGAATTGATTTTCTTATGGCAACTCACTGTGTTTTATAGTCTACATATCGCTTATATATACAAAGTGTTAGGATTAGTAATTGTGAAAGGCTTTTCAGGAGATGCCTCTCATAGTGAGGAACAAAGAAGGATGCAGAAATCATCATGTTTAGTTTCCCAAGCATATTTTCCCTCTATCCCCCACCCCCACCAAACTCAAGTGGTTATAGGATCAGTAAGTATAATCGTTACTTTTGAAGTAGCTGAATATTAAGAAGAAATGCATTTTACCATGCCACACTTGTGTGGACTTGAATTTTAGCTTGGATTTTTGTGAACTACATGAAGTAACATCTGTGTTCAACCCTGAACTGAGGTATCTTACTGTTTTCTCTTTCCCCTGGATTCCATGTAGATTTGTTTCTGTTTTGTTTCACTTTTTAAATTAAAAAAATTAGTGATAACCACAATTTTGCTTGTTTCCCTACTACAATGCAAAAACTACTACATGTATTTGATTAGAAAAGTTACTTAACAGACAAGTGCAATCCCAAAACTTTGTAAGCTAAAACTGTTTTGATAGGGTGTATAGCATCTCTAAGTTACTTCTTTCCCTTTAAAAGAAACACTCAGGGCTAGACAGATGACTGATTGTTTTCTAAAGAAACCAGGTTGTGTTCTGTACTCCAATCCCAGCCCTCCTCATGTATGTGTACAGACATACATGAAGACAAAACACTCAGACACATAAAGAATAAAATTAAAAAGATTCATATCCAAATATTCGCTTTACTTAGCTTTTAGTATTATATTATTAAAGTTAAATGAGATTTGTATGTGCCTAAGTGCCTCAATTATTCTTACTGGAAAAGGTCTATACACAACAGTGTTTGTAGTTGTTTCCATTTTGTTAGCTGTAAGTCATAAATGTTACCTAGTATTTCGGCTGAAAGAGCTGCTTCAACCAAAGAACAGGATCCACTATGACAATGACATCGAGAAAGTGTTTTCAAATGTTCTGAACAATCTTTTGTTAAAATACAAATCATTGACAAATGGTGGCTTAGAATGGCCTGGTAAATTTTCATAGCAATCTCTGAAAGCACTCATAATAAAAATTGATGTCATTTATGTAGGCATAATTCTCAAAACTATAGAATCAAAAGACAGAAGTGTTTAGCTTGACTTCAAAAGGTGGAAACCACAAGCCAGACCATTACCACAAGGAGATTGCAAGAGAATGTGGATGTGGTTTTCTTTTTTCATTCCAAGAAGTTATTCCTACTTACTCTACATTCTTTGTCCAGTCTGGAGGATTACTCAACGTCATAAATACACAGTTGGTCAAAATAGTGCACATGATAAGCATGCTGAATAAAGTAGATTGTAGTTAAGGAAAAAATGCCAATTCATTACAGACACATAAAACCCAACCATCACAAAAGATTCCAAAACACAAGTTAACTGTGAAATTAATCTTACTTAGCTGGGTTCAGACAATGGTTAATGAAAAAAGCCAAAGCCTCTCATACGGTCTAGTATTCTCTCTAAAAATGTTTACCCTGATTTGCAATGCTCCTGTAACAGATACTGCAGCAGGTTCATAAGACTCATTCCTTTATCATTTATAGCAAGTATGGGGTGTTGTTTTGTGCTAACTAGGTGGTAGCATTGACCTTTCTTCCAGGAGCATTGTTCTTGCTGTTTCAATACATATTTCACTACAAGGAAGTTCGTGTGATAAGCAAGAAAGGTATGGTGGATATGCAGGAAGACAGTAAAGGAAGGAAGGAGAGGGGAGGGGAAATGGAGATAAACTTGCTGAAGATAGCCAGTTAAGACATGAATTTTGGATCATTTGTCAATGCATGTAGTGACACTAACTATGTATACTATATAGTATATACACTATAATAACGATAATAGGCTAGGCCTCTTAAGCAATAATTAATGATTTAGTTGAGGACAGTAAAGGGCAAGATGATTTGCTCTTGTTTCTGCCATACAATATTGTCCATTGATACACTTTTTTAGCATGGCTTCATATTTGCTTCTAGAACCATGATAATAATTTTATGATAAACTTGTTATATAAATAGCAGAAGGCCAATGTAAATCATCCCTTAAACTAACAATGTTATCATTCACTGCAAAGAAATTTTATAAATATTAAAATGTAAGCGAGGTATTTCATTGGAAATCAACCATTTAGAAACAGCATTTGTACAATTCACATGAAAAGGATATGAGTGTACCAAAATCTTAATAGCAATTTTCCTAACAGGGTTTAGCGGCGTTAAAATGTACAAGGCGGAGGTGGCACTGAATCGAAAAATTGCCTTCCCTTTATTCAACACCACAAAAGTCTGAAAAAAGAAAATACAAGGGAGATTACTACATTAGACACGCGGGCTTATTTGAAGCATTTACAGTACACACCAAGAACTTTTACCTGATTTGTTTCTTTAGACATGTTCATTTAGATCACGTGGAACATAGCAAATATCCTGTTCATTAGACATAGGGTACCTGTTCCTCCTCTAAACATAAAGCCACAATAAAGGTCCAGTTGAGCAAATACTGGCTCTGTCTCTAAGCCTGCAAACTTGTCGCTACAAACTGATAGCCCTACACACTTTTTTTTTTAAATCAAGTTATACAGCCTTACAGAGTTCGTTTCTATTTGAGGCTTGCCATCTGTCTCTAGTTTTGGTAACTTTTCAGATTATTCTGTGTACATAGCTGTTAAGATAATCTTTTCTAGATATTTCAATCACAGCACTAATCCTAATTTTGTGGTGGCCTCCCTTCATCTTTGTAGCAGTTCCAATAAGTTAAGACTTTTAGATAAATCATAGAACCTTATTTTGTTGGTGAAGAATGACCCACTTTGCAGCTTATGCTAAGAAAAAGACAGCTGCATTGAAAATTAATTTTGTATACATGACTTCAAAGGCCACACCATAGTCAAAAGTCTATGATCTGAAACATACGGTCATCACCTTAGCATTTAAGCTATGCAGACCCATGACTACATATCCTGACCCCCAGGATGGATCATCCTTTATTTTTTACCACTAGAGTCATCTCTGTTGTCACCATTTAATCCACTTGTCAGTCCGACTCAGAGCCTGTCAATCTCTCCCTCTGACTCTGATGAGCATGCTCACAGAATCAGAGACAAAAGTTCTACTCATATGTAGGTAAACACACCTGTCATGATCCTCTATTCAAAAAGAAGTTTTGAAAGCACTTTCATGCTAGAATTCCTGAGAGGACTTCAGAATTGCCAACATTTAAATTTTGGAGATAGGCCAGTATTTAGGTATTTTAAACATTCTCCTTGGGTAATTCTAATATGCATGCAGTTAATTATTCAATCCTTCTTTTTCCATTCTCAGTACCCAAATCTCTTTCCCCCTCACATTTCCTTGAAAAACCATACTGCCTTGTAGTAACCCCCTAGCTGTTTCTCTTGCCAATATGTCTTCAGATACTACTTTGCACTCCTTCACATGTTGCTTGTAATCACCATCAAGTAGCAGTTTCCACGTAGGGTTCTTTCCCAGGAGAACCTGGTTAGAAGTTTTTGTAAGTGACTGAGCACAAAGCACCTGCAGTATGGTTGCATTTCTCCCACAGTATTTAATAGTATGCTTTGCAAATAAACACTTGTTCAATTAAATGAGGGTTTACCTTGAAGGCGCTGTTCACCTTTATGTCATCTGTTGTATGTACTGCTTTACTTAATAATATGTTTGCACCTTTTAAATAAGGCTATATCCATACATTCACAGTGACTAGCTACACACTTGGTTTGAAGAGGCAGGCAGGAATGTTTATACTGTGAGCAGAGAGGGCAGGGACAACAAGCAACCCCCTCACCGCCTTCTGTACTTACGACCATGGAGCCAACAATTGCTTAACTAACCCCTTTCAATGAACTGAGCTCTATAAATGCTAAGAGGAGGGCAAGTAAACTATCCCTTACTAGCATCAGGATGATCTACAAGTGACCACGAACCTCGCCAAGACTGCCCTTGAACTATGGGAGCATTAATAGATTGTCTCGATGTCACGACCAAGCAATCAAGATCCATTTAGGCAGCAGCATCAGCAGCAGTGTGTAAAAGTTCACAATAATTTGAAGTGCATTAACTCATGTTCTTTGAAACAATTTCCCTGAAAAAGCAATTTCTCCTTGCAACATTAGGAGGGGGTTTTATTTTGAAATATTTCTAAAAATAGAGCAAGCAGGAATGAACTGTTCCTTTAAGCATGAAACCCTGTGCATTTCCAGCAAGGTCAACCTGTGGAGGTAAGTGGATCCTAGGCTGGTCAGCACAGTGTATCAGCTCTGAATTTATAGTTCAAGTACAAGACAGAGCTGAAGGACAGGTACCCAAGTGCTGAGAAACAAAGAGTTAGATTCGTTGTTCTACATAGTGAAAGAGTTACAAGGAGATGTTTGAAGCATGGAGTTCTGATACTATTGAATGATGTACGTACACCAAAAGTTAGTGAGAGTGTAACAGATGGCTGGATGGCAGATAAATAACACCAGCTCCAAAGCCAGGTTTCTAAGTGATGGTAAGTGGTGAGGCACCTTGAAAAGATTTAGTGCATATCGCCACACTCCTTATAAACACCGTGGCCAGTTTGTTGCTACAGCTATTTTTCACTCTGGAACGCTGCTTGCTTCTTTTCTTCTGGGTGAATACTCATAAGCTCACTGAAATTCTTGGTATTGTGAAAGAAGTAACAGCTTTATACCTCAACAGAACAGGATGGCATCAAGCACTGAATTAAAAAAGAAAAAGATATTGCAACCAATCTTTGACAATCTTATTTTACATTCACTATGACTGCAGAGAGTTTGATCAAAGGTCAAGAGCTGTGAAGCTGGTCAGACTAGGCTCCCGTCCTTGATTTGTCACTGATGGAGTGTGACTCTGGTGAGTTAAGGGATTGCCCTTGGCTTTCCTTTCCCATCTGTAAACTGAGGCTAACAATAGTAACTGCTCCCTGGCCTGTTGGTATGAAATGAATTGGAATATTCAAGTGGCTCCTAACATAGGGTGAGCCCAACAAATGTTAGCTATTATTATCATGCCACTATTTTTAAGCTGTTAACCTGGCTAAGTTAAATGCTATTAGACTGCATTATGGTGTTACTCATCTAGTTATATTAGTCACTAAGATACATCACTACTTAGTGACAGAAAATCACTACATGAGGCACTACAGTTTCATATTGCCTTTTACATACATTGTCATATAGTAACGAGACTTCACGCTATGGTAAAATTTTGAGTTCATACATTACCTCTTCCCTTTGACTCCTAAGAGTTACACATCACTTTTCTGAACGTAGCGCCCAAATCTTCACCCTCAGAGATACTTTATAAATGAAGCCGAGGCATCCAACAGTAAAGGGGTTGTATAGAGGTCTCCCATGATGGCTCAGAGTCACTGTCAATGAATCACAGTCCAAGTCTGGGTTCCAGCTTGGAGTGAGAAATGCCTGACCTTTGCAGAGCACAGGGAATGACTCTGTTTTCCAGTGACAGATTCAAACTAATCAAACTTGAAAGCCTGACCTGTCAAATCAGATGCTAATCAATTTACAATAACATGTGTATGCTATTGTCTCAGGTGGAAAAGGAATTATAGTGATGCTTTCCCCTCAGGAAATGTTTGAGAAAGCAAATTACAGACAGAAGAGTCCTTGTTGAGCATGGAGTTCAAACAGCTTACGTATTTGAATGGTGGCGTGGGTTATCTAATAGCATCTCTTAGGTAGCCTAGGGTGGCCATGTTGTTTTGAGGAAGGAAATTCTTTTAATGAAAGTAAACACAGCCTTCCATTGGATAATTTCTCTATTTTGCATATCAAACTTATCGACTCCTTTTTTTTAAAAAGTAGTAATACCTTTATCATGTCAAATTAAAACAAACTCTGGTGTCCTTAAAACAGCTTTGAAAACATGTACTTTTGGGTTTGTAACTCAGGATGTACTTTTAGCTCGACCTGGCCCTGAGCTCATGATCCTTCTGGCTCTGTCTCCTAAGTGCTGGGCTTACAAGTGTGTGTGACAACACATATGGCTGCAAATGCATATTTTAGGTCATTATTTCTTAAATGAGGAGTATTTTTCCAGTTTCTGGGGAGAGTGTCTTACTGTTAATCATTTATAACAATGGAGTTTCTAAATTTCAAATATTTCTTGATCATCTCTGTAGTAGAGAAGCATTGGATGTATATTTTTTTATCATTTTTTATTTTAATTTTAAATAGCTTGTTTTACATGTCAATCCCAGTTCCCTCTCCCTCCCCTCCTCCCGCACTCCCCTTCCCCCCCCACCCTCCCACCCTATTGCCAAATCCTTCCACATAGGTTGGATGTATATTTGATTGGAATCACATGAATGTATACTTATTGTCTTCTTTTCAAAGGTTTATTTTACTTTCATTTATGTGTATGTGTTTGTACATGTGTGACCACATGTGTGAGAGTTCTCACAGAGGCCAGAGACCGGGTCAGGTCTCCTGGACTTTCACTGCAGACAGTCCTGAGCCATTTCACGTGGGTGCTGTGAACCAAATGCCAGTCCTCTGTAAAACAGCAAGTGCTCTTAACCACTGAGCCATCTCTCCATCCCTAGGACTAATAACTTTAAAGTTTATACTACCTAAAGAATACAGCATCCTCAACCACTGGTTTTTAGAAGTTCTATTTTGGCAAGTATAGGTGTTTTGTTTCTTAATCTATAAATCATCAACTCAAAATGATGTTCATCTTCAAAATGAACTGTTTTACTGTTGTGAAAGTAAGCTACAAATCATGATTAAAAGGTGCCAAAATATTCATTTAGGAATTAAAACAGTATCCTTTATTTAGATTCTCTATGAGTTTCACATAGCTGGTTTAACTATAGAAACTGTCTAATTCTGGCAGAACTATGTAGTTATTTTGAGCATCAGGAAAACATAGTTATAACTGTTCCTTTAAATTATGTGAGGTTTATTATTATTATTGTTATTATCATCACGATTATATGATCTTCTAATCTTGATATTTTTTCTTTGTGGTAATGTTTTAGCTATTTGTAGATAGTTCTAGAATTTAGCTTGGCACAATGTCAACAAAGCCTGTAGAAGTTCCTGATAGAATTCCAGGTTAGAGGATAAACACTAAAGATGCATGTCTGAGTAAACATGCTTATCCATGAATTATCTGTCTACAGGGAGAGATTAAGTGCATCACTATCTTCCTGAACACAGATGATTGTAAGAAACATCAAGCCAAGAATGAACTAAAAAGCAAGTATAACATCCACCCTCTTTCACCCTCATAATTACAGTTTTGCTGTCCATCAAGCAGTTAAATGGGTTAGCAATTGCAGATATTTATCATGGCTGTCAACTGTAAGTTTTCCAATTTATCTTGATACTGTGAAAAGGTAGAAACTGTTTATGCTTATTCCTCTGTAGCAGAGATTTAACTTCTTATGAATTTTCAGTGTTAGTTTTACTGAGCTTCAAGATGTATGGCAACAAAGAGAACCACAAAATCTTTCACAGATGAAAATTACAATTCTCTACTGTACACAAGCCCTCGCTTTGCACATCTGATTGAGAATGTATTAACTGTGTAAACTCAGCACTCACTTTTTTACTGATATAGTAGGGGTCCAGGTCCTCCAGGGGCTCTGAAACCATCTCTGGAGGAATGTCTCCATAGATAAATGGAAGGTTCTTCCCAGCTTCCAAGTCACTGTTTGGCTTTGGCTTGTTCTCATCATCAATGTCTTGTTCTTTCTTGGGTTTCTTGGCTTTCTCTTCTGCAGCACGCTTTTCGATAGCAGCAAGGGATTCTCTCGTGAAAAGGCGGAAGCTCTCAGGTCCTGGGGGTACCAGCAGTGCCTGGGCCATCTTTTCATCCTGCACATTTAATTACGTTTAGCTTCTTGCATAAGAATTGCCTAAGTGGAAGGAAACCATGCATGAGTGTTAGCAAAGCGGAAGGCAGAGAAGAGTAAGAAAGAAAACCCTGTGGTCATTGGTCTTGGGGAAAACAATACTATCCTGATTTGATGATTAGCTACAAATTTTAACTGAGAAGTAGTATTCAAAATGATTTTCTGCTATTTCCAATATGCTTCAGCAATTTAAAATAATAAATTTCATAAACAGAGAAAAAACCATTCTAAACATTATTAGCTTAGTTTAGTTATTTTGCAATGTGTGTATATTTCAAATCATACACAATATAGAGGGTGTATTTGGTTGATTAAAACAATAAAACATTATTGAACCCCATGAACCTTTGAGAAAATCGTTGGCTGAGAGATCTCTGATGAGGGTGGACTGGCTAGCCAGTGAGCCCCAAGGACCCACACATTTCTGCCTCCCCAGCACTGGTATAAAGGGAGTGTGCCCATGCTTGGCATTTTTTATGATGGTTTTGGGAACTGAACTCATATCAACATGCTGGCAGGGGTAACACTTTAACAACTGAGGTATCCAGCCAGTCTATGTCCTTTTTAAAATTAAGCTAAATCTTTTGCCATTTAGTTTTTTTCTTTGGACCCTTTGGAGGTACTGCATTAGCCAGGCAAACTATGTTTAGTTCTTCTTTGGGTTTACTGCTCTTCAACTACTTGAGACAAGTTTTGATGTTGTACTGGACTTTGCAGGTGGAGTAAGGCTCTGAAGAATGGACCCTGAGTCCACATTCCTTAGGTTCTGCACTGTAACTCTGTTGCTTATGGGTTGTTTGATATTGGATAAAAATGTGTCCTCCTGTTGCTTCAGTCCTCATCTATAAAAAAAAGGGAATAATAGAAAATTCGATCTCCGAAGATTGCTAGGAATAAATAAATTAATTTATATTGTTTGTAAAACAGCTTTTGGGAGTAAAAAAAACACTTTTTTGATGGCACACATCATCAGATCTGCCAATCATTTTCCTTGTCATATTGTCAGGAATCTTCCCGAGTTAAATCCTCCCCTTTAACAAAGTTCCTGATGTTCTAGAGCCACTACTGATCCTGAGCTTCAGAAAGCACGGAGAGTTACAGAGTCCCTGGACAGAAGCCTCTCATCTAGCTGGAGAGGAGTCAAGAGATGGAAAGGGGATGGAGGGCTCTGGCTCAATTTCTCAAGGAAAATAAAATAATTACCCATGCAGGAATTATGAAATACTGCAAAAGTACAGGAATCGGGGGGAATGTTGAAAGAAAAGCAGCAGTTACTTTATTTGTATTGCCATAAAATCACTTTTAAATTTCCAAAAAGAAAAGCATGAAGACTATGACAGCAGCAAAATATGATGTATATATAAGTCACCTTTAAAAGGATTTGCAGCTATGGCATGAAATTGATCATCAAAGTCGTTGTGACATTTTCCAATCTCCACCAGCCCCCACATTCATTCTAGTCTTGAGGAAGTTTACTCCTAAACCACTTTCTGGTGCTTGGCAAATCACTATGTGGCAATACTAAACAGACAGACAATGAGAAAACCTGGGCTGTTTATTAAAGGGAACAGACGATGTTGCTTTGTTTTTATTGATCATTGCTGGAATTACTGGTTCCCTGATGCATTCCAGTGGCAAGGAATGTTTTCAGCATGAGATCTTGGCTAGTATTTATAACATCGTGCTATCTTACTGAATCCCTGTCAAAATGTCAAATCATTCTTTCACTAGTTTTGTAAAGCACCTGTTTTGTGACTCTGGGTTTGTTTGTTTGTTTATTTTGATTTATTTATTTTTCTAGATCAAGTAGCACATGTATTATAAGGGGGGAAAGAACAGTTCCATTTACACAGAGATGAAGTAACCATTTATTTTGTGCTGTTTACTCATGACAGGCTGCACAAAACGGAACTAACACTGGCAGTATATCCATTTGAACCCATTCTAAGCTGTGTGTTTCTTGATTTTTTTTCAAGCCTGGGTCTTTCTGTATAACTTTGCCTGTCCTGGAACTATCTCTATAGACCAGACAGACCTTGAACCTATGCCTCCCAAGTGCTGAGATTAAAGGTGTGCACCACCACCACCACCACCACCACCACCAGCAGCCTGTGCCTGTGTGTTCATACATGCAGAAAAAGTCACTGTTTCCTGCACATCTTTAATATCCAGAGAGTCAGAATCTACCTGTCTCATATTTCTGGTCATGAACTCGGTGCCTGTGGTTCATCCCAGTTGCTAAAATGGGAAGGCCAAAGGGGAGTGAACTTACACGCTTTCCTGGTGGACTAAAGTTGCTTTTATAGTTGAGCATCATGGTGAACTGAGAGAGGGAAAAATGCTGAATCTGGGGTGGGCATTTGGGGATTCTGTAGAGTCGGCCTCAGAAAGCCTGTAGGGCTCCTGTTGCAGAGCCTGAAAATCTGAACTCACTTCACAGAACCTGCATGGTGAAGGGAGGGAACCAACTACCCCAAGTTGATCTCTGCTTTCCATATGTGTACAGTGGTATGTGTGCCTACACATACACACACACACACACACACACACACACTCATCCACACACACATGCACGTGCTCACACACATACTGAATAAATTTAAAAAGATGCTTTAAAAGAACCTTATTGTATAGGTGCCAATAATTTGTCATTAAAAAAATGACTGGCTGTACATTGATTTCATTTCGTTTCATTGAAATCTTCTAAGTCATCAGTTTTTAAAATAAAATTATGTTTTAAATGTCGGATGTGGAAAATCTCATAATACTCTCTGGGGTTCATTCTGATTTCTGTAAAAATGAGATGGATCAAGATACTACCACAAAAATCATAAATGCTTACTGACAAAGAAATAACCATTTACTTTCTTATTGGCTTATAAGGAGATATAGGGAAGACTCTGATCTTCAGAATGAACTACAAACGCCTGTGAAACTCTCAGACAGTTGTCTGAGTCCTGAGACGTATCAGTCCCTGTTCTCAGCCTTCCCTTGACTTGGGGAATTAGAGCGTGGCTGGCATTTGGATTGGCTTCCATCTTCAGTGTGCTCAGTATCCCCTAGCTCTCCTTCCCACCTTGCTGTATAATGAAGTCCCAGCGACTCTCAGTTCTCATTGAAACTTTTTCCACTTCTTTCCAGTTCACTGAGACCTTATTATACAGAATGCTTACATAACTTTATATCCATATGAGAACAGATATTTAAAATTTAATTCTTATTGAAGCCTTGATGTGGAGTATATATTATTAATGAGTATATGTGCATTATAATTTATTAAAATATCCAGTATTGTATACCATGCTGTGTCCAGAACTATCTTTTCAAGAGCAGGAAAGATAAAAGAACTCCAAGGAGATGGCGCTCTTGATTAGAAAGCAAAGAGCCTGTGTGTGGGTGCATAAGCACACATACTGCTCTGCCAGTTAATACCAAGATTGCCATTTAGTATTTCTTAATTCAGAACTGGCTCATAGTCTGTGGTACCTAGAAGGAACCCTTGGACTATGTATTCAGGAAATATTTATCACTGGAATTACATGGACCAGCAACTTTCCATGGACTGACCCTTTCCTAGAGGAAATTGCAAACCAGTGCAAGATATAGATGCTAACAGATGTTAATACAGATAATTAAAATACAATCATACACAATTGGTTATCTGAAGTTCATAAATTGGATCAATTTATTCTTACCAGGCAAAGGAGGGAGAGGTATGGTTCATAGAATTCCCCTGAGGAAGTGACAGGTTTTGTAGGCTAAACAGGAGCGTGGTGGAAGGGCTGGCTGGAAGATGAATCACAAGAGACACCAAGCAGGTATGTATGTGTGCATGTATGTGGGCAAAGACGAAAGAGCACGGGGAACTTGTAAGAACTCTGGGCACTTTGTTAAGGTTGTCACTGACCTGCATAAAAGACTCATGTGAGCTCGACTTGGAAGGGTGGCAGGATACAGTGCACCAAGGGCCTTGAACAGCAGGCTCAAATAGGCAAGAAGTTGAGAGACACAATCAACTTGAAGACTGCAGATTAGAGGCAGTATTATGGGTAGACAGGAGGGGGCAGATCTCAGAGCAATGTTTTCTATATGATTGAGTTTCAGGAGTCTTTCATATCCCCCCACCAGTATGTCTACAATCAGACAATTCTAGGGAACTGTCTATGCCTTTCTGGGAACTGTGATTATTTTTCTCTGGAATCAAATGAAGGTTCTACAAATGGTGATTTCTTACATTGGAATCAGAAATGGTACCCACAAACTTTTGATCCATCTTGTCTTTTGAATGTATCTTTTACATAACTTGCATGTCTTTATGTCATCATAAATGAATCACTTGGAAGATAACAACACACTGTTAGGTGAATCTTCCAAATTTTGATGAATTTCATCATGTGACACCCCCAAGGCACATTCCTTAATATGGCCAAAAATTGCATGGGAAAATTCATAAAGTACTGGAGGTTGTCACTCTCCCAGTGGCAGGTGAAGCTTTCCAAAATTCTAATTCCCCTTGAGAGCTCCAGTTTAACACTGACAACATTTGCTTTTCTAAGTGAGAGGCTTTCCTTTTGTCCATTTTTGAGAATATATGTGACACACACCCAAGTCTGAATATCATTGTTTGCCAGTTATCCTTTCAAAAGAACATGGTGTTTACCCACAAATACACACACACACACACACACACACACACACACACACACGAGAGAGAGAGAGAGAGAGACAAAGACAGAGACAGAGACAGAGACGGAGAGAGATGGAGAGACAGAGAAATGGAGAGACAGAAAGAGAAGAGCCCACTAGTTTGGCTCCTGTCTCTTTTAATCACCCTAGGATCTTTCTAGAAACAACCATGCAGCTTTAGTGTTAAGCAGAAATACCTTGGGCATTTCTTTAATTCCATCATACAGACCATTAAGAATGTGGGCTCTTTGGTGTTGAGATTTACTGCTTCACCAGAAGTTTCTTATGTAATATGACATGTTTCTTTTTTTCTTACTGACACTACACAGCAGTGAAATAACATGGACAGCACAGATCAATGTTGTTGTCTCTATGCCTGCTGAGGCAGCCACTGAACCCCTGAAACTACTGGATGATCAGTACAAATGCTAAACCATGAAGAAGTCAAATTGTATCTTGATATGATTATGAAAATACTATAGACTTGACAGTCTTCCCCACAAAGGGCCCTAAAGACCTCCTGTCATGTCTTTGGCAATAGGACTCCAGAAGGAAGCAATTAGTGAAAGGGGGAGAAGAGGGTCCAACTGCAGCCTTGTGTGAAAAAGCAAGACTTTAGTGATTGTAAACGGACTCTAGGCACTCTGCTGTATTAGAACAGGTTGGGATCCTTTCTAGTCTCCACATTCCCTCAGTCTACAATAGAGAGAAATTACAGCAAGGACAATGCATACTTCCTAAGCTTAATGTGACATCTACATATGAAAGTCCACATAAAGGGTGAGTACAGTGACCCATAGAGAAAGTAAGCCACTCCAGTGATTAGAAAACTCATAGCCAAAGTGTCTATTCAAGGCAGAAATATAGGACAGGGAAAACCAGTCAGCCTTCTTGGCTGACTTGATGCAAATAACAAAGATTTTGAGCTTTGAGCTACATCTCATCCCCAGGTCCCTGGAGTAAGCCACAGCTGACAGTAACCCAGTACAGCAGCAGAGGAGGTTAGTAAGGCAAGATAATAAATTCTGCTCAGCACCTCTTGAGTTTCAGGTGCCTGGAGGACATCTGGTATGTAATTAAAATTTGTGTCTGAGATGCAGAAAAGCTGTCGGAGCTGAGAAAACGTTAATTAAGGGGCAGAGAACGCAATATGACATCATTTAAGAGCAACCTGAAAAGATGGGAAGCCAAACCTAACATGACTGCCAGTCTTGAAGGAGAGGTATAGGGTATCAGGCAATGAGGTCAGAGTGGTTATCTAAACACCAGAAGAGAAACTTGCAAGATGTTAATTACAAGCCATGTATTGGATCCAGCAATTACCTGAAATGTTCACGTTAAGAAAAACTAAGAAACGGACCCAGAAAAGCTATGTAATATCTCCTGAGATGGTCATGGACAAACACACATGTTGCTTTGAGACAAAAAAAAAACAACTCTACATATTCTATTTTTGTTGAATTAGTTTTTTCATTATTGTTGTCATATTGTATTGAACCCAGCTATTTTGCAATTGGATTTTAAAAACCTTAGTTGTATATAAATAACTACAGAAAAATTAATTTGGTTCATTCAATTTTGTTTCCTGTATCACTGTGCTATGATTTCATCATAAGCTTATGAATGATTTTGAGACCAACCAATACCAGGAGTCTAAACTCCACTAGTTGTTAATGAATCAGATTCTGAGAAAAATAACACAGTGAACATTGGGGAAATGCTGTGGGACTATCAGACCATCAAGGCACAACACACAATTCCACTTGTCATGTGTTCCCTGGCTTGTCATATTTCTTAGAACAAACAGTTGGAAAATATCATTACTATCTACATAATCTATTAACATTCTCTCTTCTCTCTCTCTATCCCTTCCTCCCCCTCCATTCGTCTCTGCTAGTGTTGTATCTTTCTCTCTCTGTTTTTTTTATGAGGATGCATGCTACAGACAAACTCGATTAGTTCTGGTTTGTTATGTCAGAAGGCTATAAATTTACCATCTTCAAGGATGGAAAGCTGCTCTATGTCTCACAGCTCAAAATATCTCCCTCCCCCCAAAAAATTTACAATGTATTTTCATGTACTTGATGATGAATGAGTTAATAGGAAATCCTGGGCCCATTGCCAAAGAAAATGTGTTCTGTGCTCTTGGTATCAACAAAAGAGATTATTATAGGAAAGGCAGAGTCTAAAAGATAAGATGAACCAGTTAAATATCCACTGCTAAAGAAAGCTTTTTATTTTTATTTTATTTTACCCATCCTTATGAGTTCTAGGCAACACTCTACCTAAGGTATATCCTCTTCAATTGGAGTAAGAGGTTTCACTTCTACTTGTGTGTGTGTGTGTGTGTGTGTGTGTGTGTGTGTGCGTGCATGTATGTGAGTGTGCACATGTGTGTGTATATGTGCCTGCCTGCTGGGAATTGAATCTGGGACTCACAGGGAGTAGGCAAGTTAAGTAAGTGCTTGACCACTGAATAATACATACACCTACTCTTTCCAATAGAACTCTCATTTAGAACTAGTGGTTGTCCTATACTTACTGGAGTAACTTAGTTAACACTATGTCTGTTAGTACTATAAAAAGGAGCATAATGCTTTATTGAATATATACATAGATATCTACAAGATGGAATTAATACTACTTTCCATATTTCTAAAGAGCTTTGAAATAATATCTGACTGGTATGACTTTTTAGCTTTGATATTAAGTGATAATAACAAAACTCTGTTAAGTGATTTCTAAATATCAGATACTTCCAAGTAATTTGTGTCTGTGAACTTATTTAGTCACATTGCAAATTTATCAGTTGATTACAGTTTTAACCTATTGATATGGTTTTCATTCTTATTTTACAGATCAATAAATGTAGGGTCGTGTCAGCTACATAACTTGTCTAAATCTCAATGTTAGTAACTGAGAAACCAATATTCAAATCTATGCAGTTCAGAGAAAAAGCCATATTTTTAAGACCGTGAAATGACCAGATTCCTAATTCATATTTGTTGACATGGAACATGAATGCCAGTCATCTTACTGGGAGTGGCTATGTGTGGAATCTGCACTGGAAATAGATCATAGATCGGCTTCATCTAAGAGACTGAGAACTCTAACCCTACTTATGTAATTAGGAAACACTGAAAACAGAAAGGCATCAATGATAAGAACTAGACACATAGGTAAGAGATATGTGATAAAAAAAACAAGAGCCACCACATATGTAACCAACATGTTCACATATCTGCAGGGAACCTCTGAGCTGTCTAAAATCAAATTACAGCCCTAGGATTGCTCTTCTAGGTCATGTGTCTTTCAGCATCTAATAAGGGACATTGGCACCTCTATTAGTCTGAATAAACTCATCAAGAAAGTAATTCTGTGTCAAGGGTACCTCACCATTGTTGAATATAAAAGCAATCCTGACTTTCTTTTACTAATGCTCCATCACTATCCAATGATAAATGTGTGGTTGTCAACACGTGATACTATTTATTAATTTCCTGTTTAATAAGTGGATTTATTATTGTCCTTTCCTTCCATAGACTCATATCATGGGGAAAATTTTGTCAGAGGAAGAAAGCCCAGGTACAACTCTGCCTTTGGAACAATCATCTAGGAAATAATAATTAGCTCACAGAGGGTGATATTTGCTGTGACTTTGTCCTCATCTGATCACTTATAAACTGAAGAGACAAGAGCCAACTAACGACAATAATTAAGCCAACCTTGTTATACAGGAATCAGCATTACTGGCTTTAATAGCTTTTGACATTTCTTGCAGAATGTTTGCAAACTGAAGTAGGCTTTATGTGGGTCTCAGCGTGCCCTCTACCCTGGATACCTCCTTTATGCTCTCTTGCAATCAGTGCTTTAGGAATTGATATGTGATCCCATTCTGGCCAGTGTAATGCCAGGAAGATTTGTCAGGGAGCCCTCCGTTAGAGCGCTGTATGCTGGTTAGAAAGGAAGTGAGGGAAAACATGTTCTCTGTCTTGCACCTTTGTTTTTACATCAGAGTAGTATCCAAAGCACTTGCTCAGCCAGCTTCCAAGCATAGCGGATGCCACTCCGAGGGCAAAGCTGACACAGTGAGTGTGGCCGATCACAGAGACATGTTTACCCTTGGGCTCTCCATGGACGGCTCAGCTCTTAGACCCAAACAACCTCTGCACTGCTTGTTATGTCCAATAAACATCCTTCCTGACTGCAATCCTTTTAGACACTTTTCCTAGTTAGCAGCTGCCGATACACCAAATAAACAAGTACTTGCTGGTCAGTTCAAAACCTTAGCCAGTCAAGAAAGTCAGCTCACAGCAAAGGCTAGCTACATGTTTGGATGTCCTCTGCCCAGCAGAAACAGGTGAGCTACGGGCCTAATTACCAAATAAATATAATACAATTTAAAGTAAACACAATCCCAGGCAATTTATAAAATGTCCAAAACAAATGTCCCTCTTAAAGGAAAAAGAAACAGATCTGGCTTAATTTCTCTCTCTGGCTTTTGGCATCACTCCATGCCCCAAGGCCATCCCTGCCAGGCCTCATCCATTTGTTTATCTGTTTGGAGAAACACAGTAATGGTGGCTACACTTTCCTGCTGTCCTTTTGTCTGAGTACAGCTGTCCTGGGTAGCAATAGAAATCTCAGTTTGCTTTGCACAAACACAAAGTTATTCTAAAGTAGTAGGTTAGGTACCTTTCAGAGTCGTAGGCCTCTGTTTGGAAAAGCTCCAGGCCCCTTCTGGGAATTATCTCATTTGTTCTTATAATATCCCTAGAAGGGATTCGTGGTTTTTTACCCAGTAAGTCACTCTGCCACGAATCCTTGACAGATACATCATTGCTGACTAACTCTGGTGCGCTTGACTTCAGCTCTCTTGCTCCACAATCTGTGTGAAAAGAGAGCAGGGCAAAGTTAGCTGGGTACGCTGGCCACTTGCAGTGTGGCAGTGTTCTGGCCCTGGGTCCTCGTTTGGGGACTTGGTTTACCTGTGGCTTTTGATCAGAAAAGCAACTCGATACAGAGCAAGCCCTTTGATCTTGTTAGACAACATGCCCTGGCATGCTCTGGCAAGAGGGTCCAGGGACATCTGCCAGGACCCCAGGGCGAGGGTGGGACTCTTCTCCAGCTGCTCGGGTTCACTCAGTCTTTCTAGAGACAGCATCTGTCATACCTGCTACTCCCTTGTCCCCTTGATATGTCTTCCCTTTGCTTCTGTTCCTTCAACACCTCAATGGCCATGGAGGGAGCTAAGAGATTCTAATTCCTTTTCTAGCTCAGCTTACTTTCCCCCCCATCTGAAAAGTTGTTTAATTGATTCATTAAGGTTAAACAAACTGGCCGGGCAGTGGTTAGCCACGCCTTTAATCCCAGAACTGGGGAGGCAGAAGCAGGCAGATCTCTGTGTGTTTGAGACCAGCTTGGTCTACAAGAGCTAGTTCCAAAGCCACAGAGAAATCCTGTCTTGAAAACCAAACAAAAAAAAACAACAAACAAACAAACAAACAAACAAAAAAGATAAGACAAACCTCACTCAATGACTTCTAAAGTTAATGTTAGACAATCGTGCTATGCCAGAGCGCTAACCTATCTGATGTCACTCTCTTTCTACTGTCAATGGTTTATCACAGGTTAACTCACAGAATTTCACAGGACAAGGTAGCTAGTCTAAAGTCAGAAGCTGATATTTAAAACAATATGTACTTCGGTTCAATTACACAATGTTCACAAAATCTAGAGATGCACATTTTCCATTTTCTGGGAAAAATTAAATCCTTGCTTTAAAGTTTTATAAGATCTATTAAAATTTCTGCCTGTGGATGAACTCTCTCCAGAGCCACTAATCTTTTGCTCTGTCCTGTCACCAGACACAGAATATTATTAAACCCTGTCAGTGTCATTCAATGTGATTTACAGTCACTTTAACTGAAACTGAACATGCCTCTGTGACCCAGCTTGTACCCTCCCATCCAGTTTCTTACTTTGTGGTGGTAACAGAGTTGCTCTCGGGCTGTGTGACATCATGTGTCACCTTACCAATCCAGCTGCTAGTTTCTTACAAGTAAATGAAGAGTGTATCCAGAAAATTGTTTTTTTAGAATGGGGTTTCAAATTAGCATAGCTACATATGTTCATATATAAGTATATACAAGCACACATATGTAAATTAATGCAAAAATAGGTTTTCCTCAAAAGCTGGAAGTTTTAAATCATATTGGTTCTATTAATAGTATCACAGTTATTATTTTTTTCAATAACACCCATATGCTGCAGACCAGATCTGGAGTAGTCACAAAAGCTGATCGCTGGAAGCTTGGTCCCTGGCCCATGGGGCCATTGGATAGGGCCTACTAGGAGAAACTTTGGTTAGTAGGGTCATGGAGTTGAAGGAGCTATTTGTATCCAGATCTTTCCTCTTCCTGTCTGTTTCTGGTCATCAGGAGGTGAACAAGCCTTTGTTCCAGAGATTGGACATGCTGATCTCTGCCCTCATAGGCCCAAATCCACTGACAGGGTTATGCAAAGATGAACTCCAGACACATTAGTCAAAATTAAAAGTGTCATGATTTTCTCCTCAGGTAGCACGTGCAAGTGTCACGCTCTACCATAGAGCAGCATGAGTACCTAGACTTAGACTCTTCACTGAAATTACAGTCATTCAATTATAGCTAGTGTTTTATACTTCCCAGACACACACTCCTTGCATTCACAGCTCACAAGTAATTAGATGTTAAATACTCTGGCCTCTAGTTTGACATATAATGAGAATGACTCTCAATAACCAAAACATCAATTTCGTTATATTTCTTAAGTATTTGAGAGGTTTTCACGGGAGACAGGGTGGAGGTGGGCTGTGAGTTTAGAAGAAGTGGTGGATCTCAGCAGCCCCGTCCCCCAGAAGAAGGCGCTAATCTACCTACAGTCTCTCTCCTCCCCTGCCTTATGAAACTGTATTTACAAACAGGAGGAAATGTAGCTGATGGCTTAGGCTTCCGGTAGGAGGACAATTTTTCCAATTTCAAGTACCCTCCAGTTAGAGCAATGATTTCTACATGTGGCCTCCCGCTGCAATCTCCATCTTCCTTCCTTCCCTCCTTCCCTCCTTCCTTCTTTCCTTCCTTCCTTTTTTTTAAAATTTAGTGTTTAATCTAGTGTCTCATGTAACCCAGACTGTTTCAAACTCACTTTGTTGCTGAATCTGACTCAGAACTCTAGATAACCCCACCTCCCAACTCCTTATATTCTGTGATAATAAATAAGCATGTGTGATATGTCTGTCTCTTTTTTACACCCAATTACCGGATCCGCCTGGCTTTAAAGTTGTTGTATAGCCTAGTCCAGCCTTGTACTTGTGATCTGGTCTCAGCCTCCCAAGTGTCTGAATTACAGGCCTGTACACCACCAAGCCTGGTTCCATTCCATTTCAAGGTGACATCTATCTCACTTATCTCTAAAAGTGAACTGCGTTTTGCAGACTGACTGTGATATGAAATTAGACACCTTAAAGCAGTTCTGAACTTCAGTGTAAGAAGTACTGAGGCTGATCTTTATTTTTTAAAACATTCACTGTGTGCACATGTGCACACACAGGAGGATGCTGGCCACAAAGATGCGTATGTGGAAATGAGGTCAGCATGGGGGAATTGGTACTCTCCATCCTCCATGTGGATTGTGGCAGTCAGGCCCATGCCCTTTACCTGTTCACCCGTATCTCAAGCCCCATTCAGATTCTTCACAAAGTTTTTGAATTTCATTTATTATTTTGTGGTTTCAGGCAGTTTGCTTGCATGTATATCTGTGCCCTCTGGATGGAGAAAGGGGTGTCATATCCACTGTGACTAGATTTACTGCAAACTGTGAACTTCTATGTGGGTTATGAGGATTGAACCTGGGTCCTCTGGTAGGACCCAGTAGCTAGTGCTCTTTGTCACTGAGCCATTGTTACAGCCCCTGACTACTTAAAAAATTAATTCTTTTCTTACTTAGAAAAGAATTTTCATACCTTGTATTTTGATAATGTTCTTTTCTCTCCATCCTCCTTCCAGATCCCACCCTCATGCGCTCTAGCGTGCTCTCTCTCTCTGTCTCTCTTTCTCTCTCTGTCTCTGTCTGTGTGTGTGTGTGTGTGTGTGTGTGTGTGTGTGTGTCTATCTGTCTGTCTGTCTCTCCCTCCCTCTCTCCCTCCTATACAGATTTCCAGAGCTAAGTTGGGGTCAGGCAGTATCCATATATCTGCAACTTTAAACAAATGCTCTGGATTCATCTGACATAGAAACACAAGGAAACGAGTAGTGACTACGATGAATATGAAATGAGTTCTTTAAGTAATAAAGGCTGGAATCCATCTCAAATTTACTCGGCAGTCAAGAAAACAGTGACGTGCCATGGATCTCAATATTTTAGTCAAAACAAAAACAATTCATGAAAGTTGTGTGTAAAATGACAAACTTGTTCTAAGAACTAAACTGGAGAAATGAAAATTTGCTTAGTACTTACCCTTAGAAACCATGAGCAATGTTCTAAATAGGTACCCAAAGGTAATTTAGCAGAGACTTATCTAAGGCTTAATCAGGCAAGTCTGCTATTGGATAAAATGAGTTCACCACAGTGAATTTCATTTAGAAAGCGATACAGTGGTTCATAAACATTGCTCTCATGTGAACTAAGCTTCATGTTGAACTGAGATAACCTTCCTAAATGGTGAGCCTACCTTTTAGCAAATTTTACTAGAATTTCAGCACTTTAGACAGTTTTGGGGAGAAACCTGGTTGCATAAATGAGGAAGTGGTAGCTCAAGAAGAATGATGGGAATTTCCCCCTGAACCTGGTGAACAATACCATCTGTAGAGCCTGAGGCATATTTACTACAAATTTATTTTTCTTAGCCAATTCTTATTTTTACATTTTATATCGCTAGCATCAAGAATTACATTTTCTAGGGAGTTGAATTTTTTATTCTGTTCTGTGTAATTTGGCAGTGTGTTAAACTTTCAATATGTACTAATTCTCAGAATTTTGTGCTTAGGGTGCATACATTTGTGCTCTTACTCATACATGTGAGCAGGTACATGTAGCAAGTGAGTGAAGTCCTGTGTGCTAAGCTGTGTATGGCTTGACATGTGTTTGACCATGACAAGGACACCAACGCCTCAGACCCATGGGAAATAGCAAAGTCTTCACTCGATGAGGCTCTGTGAGACGGCAAAGCCTTCCTCTGGTCCATGTGCAGACGGTGGCAGCGTGTGCAGAAAATGTCCACCTTCGCTTTCTCCCCAGATCTCTACTGCCCAAGGATTAGTCCCCTATAGATTGTCCCTACCAAGATTAGCTAAAGCTGCCTCCTTGTTCAGCTGTGTATAACAACCCTGTGGCTCTGTTTATCTGCATGTAATAGCCCTTCCTCCTTGTTCAGCTGTATACAACAACCACCCCTTCATGCTCAACTGTATAAAATAAACACACTGAGCTTCCGGGGTGCTGCAGCTTCTCTATGTGATTGTCCAGCCTACCTGGTCCCAGTTTTTCTGTGTGTCTATGTCTTTGTCCTTTCTGCATCCCCTCAGCTCCCCAGTTAGTCAGTCCCTGGAGTTATGCAGAGTACAGCAGCTCACCATCTAATTTTTAAAGATGGGACATCCTAGTGAGCCTAGAGCTCAAAACAAAATTGGCTAGACTGGCTGGCCACCTGCTTCAGGGAATCCACCTGTCTCTCTTCCTACAACAGGTCTCCAACACCTGGGTTACACACAAACCCTGCTATGCCCAGATGATCCAAACTCAGGTCCTCATGCTTGCACATCAAGCCCTTTACCTATTAAGCTGTCTCCCCAGGTCTCCTCCCTGTGTTTTAATATTTTTATTTTACTTGGCTATTATTTTACCATCCTT